TTACCGGAGCACACGTTGAAAAAGTCATTATCGGGGATGATTAATTTGAATCCGTCGTTGAACGATATTGACGACGAGTATTTATGGAAATTAATACCTAAGGACAAGACTTTCGGTAGTCCTCCTTTTGAACAGTCGATAGCTAAGGATGGGTTTAAAAATTGGGAAAAAGTGCAATTACAGAAACATAAAACAGAAATCAAGGAAGAGGAAATCAACAATAAGGAGTTTGAAGATTTCAAGCAGTTGTTGCATAACTCCAAGACCTTTTTCAAAGTGAATTCTTCTGGTCGTAGAAAGTTGGACAGAAAGTTGTTGAAGAGATACAAGCAATTAAAGCAACAAGGTAAAATTCCTAAAGATTTCAACTTAATCAAGTTTAATGATGATAATGATTTATAATCCTCCTCAGCGAGGTCTCTACATGTTTATAGTTTATATAATAGTCAATACAGTACATTTTTAATAACTACGTTGTCAAGGCTATTCAATAATAATTAATTCAACATCTTCATAACCGAACTTACCCTTGTTTTCTTCATAGACTTTCTTCAATCCATCCACATATAACTTATGGTAATGGTTGAGTATTTCGGAGGGAATCTTTATTTTCTTGTCTCTCTTTTTAGAATCCTTTTTGTCTTTCGTTTTAGAATCCTTTTTGCTTTTCTTTTTAGAATCCTTCTCGTCCTTCTCTTTAGAATCCTTCTTGTCCTTCTTTTCAGAATCGGTTTCATCTTCTTCTTCACCTTCCCTTTTTTGCCTGTCCTTTTGTTCTACTTCTTCATCAGAATCAAAGCCTGGGTGTTTTAATTTGTAGTCCGCAATTAGTCCACTGGGGACATAAATTGGCTCGCCCATGCATATATCAATCGGGTTTCTAAATGGTAAAAACCCAAAATCATATATAAAAACACCTCTGGCACTGAAAAACGGCACTGTAAACTGAAATGTAGCTTTCATCCATTCTTGAAACTTTGATCCAAGAGATCCCGGTTTGGGATTAGCTATTCTAAAAATATCTGCCTCACCAAATCCAAATGTTGGTACCAAACAAACATTGCCTAATTCAATAGCTAATTTAACAAAACCTTTCCGCTTATTCAATACCAACTGAATTTGCCTAGGATTTACGGAGTCTTCACACTGGCTTTCTTTTTCTTCGCTCTCTCCCGATTTTTCAGTTTCTGTTCCATTATGATCATTGAGGTTTTTATTTTTATTTTCCTCGGTTTGATTAGCGTTGTCAATCTCAGTCTTATTAAGCTTTTCGCTGAGTTTCGTTTGGCCTTCTTCGGTGTCAAGATTGTTGTCACTTTCGCTGGATTCCTGTTTTTTCTCACCTAAATCTTTATCCATTTGTTCTTTCATGCTATGCTGTACTTCCTTCGGATTATACTCCTTTACCATAGGCTCCGATTCATCTTCACCGTCATCGGTTTCATCATTCTTATATCCATTGCCGATTCTAGATCTTGGCGAAACCATGGTATTAAGCAATGATTCCTGCGCACCACCAACGACAAGGCAAACAGAATTATCTCCATTATTAATGAGACTTTTAATGTTTTTGTAAGATGCACTTGTCAATCCTAAGCCCATTAAATAGTCACGGTAAAAGGGTAAGGTAAATTGAGTAGTTAAAGTCAAAAGGAAGATATTACCAATACCCGGTAATAATCTAGTGTACTTAGATGGATAATGAAAAAATGGCTTTAAGAAACTAAAAGGAGGCTGAAATGGTTCATTCCGAATCACATTAGTTGCAAAAGCACCCATGACTCCCATGGAAATTACACCGTGCGGATGGTAGCCGAAAATATACCTAGGTCCAGTACATTCTTTCTTATATTTCAAAGCTTTATCATATTTTTTATCACTTGAAGATGTATCCAGAACATTGTGCGAGTCGGAATCATTCAAACGTTTTCTCAATCCCAATGTTTTAAACAATTTATCAATGAGTGTTCTTGAATCCTCCGAAATTAGATCTTCTTCGTCATCATTCCCTTCATTATCATCAACAAGCATCTGCGTAAAGGTTGGTTCGAATTCACATGCTTTATGGACACTAATGGGAAAATAGTTCACAAACCATTTCCAGATTATGATATTCTTCATCCAATCTTTAACGCGGTAGACAGTTTTACCATTTGTAGGTGTATGTAAATCAAAAAAATACCACCAGATAAGGTAAGGAAGAATCACAAATATCCAGATGATCCAACCTAATGAAATTGCCAATAAGAATAGACTCACGAAAAAAGGAATGGAAAGACAATGCCAGATTACCCCCATAGTTTCTAACCTATTATGCAACGGAGTATTCAACGGTGCAAAATTGACAAGCGACTTCTTCCTGTGTGTTTTTGGCTTGGTATTGGATTTGGTGTTAGACCGAGAACTCCTTCTCGAGTCATTTTCTGATAGTGTATCGTGTGAACCATGTCTCCTCCGTAACTGTTGCTTCTCATCGTCGTATGTGGTATTTTCTTCAGACGATGACTTCTGTGACATGGTCATTGTGAACAATAGCTCTTAAATATAATCGCAAACAATATTGCGAATATTATGGACGTAGACGGGAATTTAACCTAATTAAAAGTTTTTAATAAATCATATGTGGATAGTTAACTTTCAGGATATTTTATATGGGGATCGCGAAAGGAGACAGGAAACCCATAATGGGAAATTTTTCACAAAAGAATGCAAAAGATAAATATATGGCCAAATCATGAGTAAAAGGAATAAGGATAAGGCTAATTTACTAGATGCTGATAATCAAAAAACACATTATTGGATTAACCCTAGGAAAAAACGGAAAAATAATTTAATTGGCACTCTTTGGAATAAGATCGACGTATCACAGACACATCACAACACACCATTCATTAAGCTATTCCAAGGTAAAGAAACGGACAAGGAAGTCGAAACTAGATATGAGTTATTCAACAGTATCTGGAATCATCAGTTGCACAAGATACAAACTATTTTAGATCATGAAAATACCGAATTATTTGGAAAATTATTGCAATACATTGAAGCACCATTTGATTATGGGAAGAGTAATACCCATATTGCTATTAATAATGTATACAAGATTCCAATTGGATTTCTACTGCTTGGTTCTAATACGGCGAATAATATTAGAATCATACAAGAATTTAATAAGTTCGTTCAATTGCGTGAACAGAAGCATATTAAGCTAATTAACTTGAACTCCAAAAATTGTGCCAATATCAAATCTACTTTAAGAGAGGTTGTAAAGCAGGTTTTGAGTAAAAAGAATGAAGAGACGGAAGAAAATGATAGCAGTGATTCTTCGGAAGACGAAGAAAGTGAAGATGAGGATATGGACTACGAGGGAAGAATAAACTATGACTTTGATATAGTTGAAGATTGGTGTCTCAAACAATTCAGCAGGGAGAAAGGAAATCCAAAAAATACTAGCTCACGTCTTATTATCATATTACAAGATACAGATTCAATAAGTAACCAAGTATTGAATCAGTTGATTAAATTAATTCATTCATATTCTAACAAGTTGCCAATAAAATTGATTATGGGATTGTCGTCTTCAAACGTAACGAATTGGATAAATAATAATTTGAGTAATGAGTTAAGAATTTTAATCAACGGATTCAAGTTCAATAGTATTGATACTAAGTTATTAGGGTTCAAATTAATTGATGAAGCTTTTTTAAATTACAAGAATGATGAAACCAACCCTTTGATCCTTAATTATAAGCTATCGTCTATTATATTCAATAGGTTCAAGAATTCAAATAACTCAATTGATAATTTAATATCGCAATTTAAGTTGTCGTATATGATTTATTTTTACCAACTGCCATTGTCGGTGTTGATAGACGAAAATTTTAAACCTAATTCCAGATACATTGACGCATTAAGAAAATTGCCATCCTTTAAGAAGTATATGGAGAAATTGGTATTTAGATACAACGAGCAAAGAAAATTACTAGAACAGCAAAAAGAATTTGAGGATTTCAATCTTGATATAAAAAAGAGAATTGATCCTAAGGAAGCTGATTCATTGAAAATTGAAATAACCAAATTGTTAAAGTCTACCGATGCATTAAGAACTTTATTTGATGATACCCGAGTACAGTTCAAGAGGTATAGATTAAGTGTTCTAAACTTAATGAATATAATTTATAAAATACAAGAATATAGCGAAAAGCCCAACAAGGAGAAGCATGAAATCTATAAGTTGATCATAAATAATCAGGTGAACTCATCAGTTTTCTTGAAAGAACTTTTGGTGTCGTTGAAAAAGAACCTGATAGATTTTATTAGGTTTGCTAAGTCAGATGCATTGACCGAGGAAATAAACGGCGTCAAAGACACACAATTGACCAATTTACGAAAAAGTTTAGAAGATAATACACCTACTGAAAAGGTACTTAGTTGCATAACGAAATATATTCAAAGCGAAGAGGTTATCTATAAGCTTGACGATAATTTATTTAATGAAATTTTTTCACTCGATGGTGGAAACTTTGTTAATTTGGGATTTAATTTCGAAGAAAATTATGAAAATTTGATGATAAATCTTATAAGACCAAAACTAAGATCCATTCTCGAATTGGGTTTGAATGATTCCAATTCATATTTGCAAAATGAGCTAATTTCTGAAGCCGATACTAGGAGGTCAAACGTCCCACCCATGATTTGCCAACTATTCAAAGTCTATAAGGATGCACCTGTATCCATAAATATTTATGACTTCTATTCTGCATTTAGGCAATCCCTATCCAGGGAATCGATAATATCCGAATTAATAAAAAATGACAAGGGGGATGACCATAAATCTATATTACAAAAATGCCAAGTGGATAATGAATTTATATGGGACAAGATCATATATGCGTGGTTTTTGCAATCATGTTTCGAACTAATCAATCTTGGTTTGCTAAAAGAAAAGGCAAAGAATGATTATTTAGAAAAATCAATATGGATTAATTTATAAAGCTACTTAGTTATTCATCATTATTTTTTCCTGAATTTTTATTTGAATCAAGAAATGCATTAAGTCTTTCTGTAGCTTTGTTGTAGTATTCTCCTGACTTCATATGTTTATGGGCCGAAATTGACGTAACTATTAATATAGTCAAAAATACTGATAATATAATTAAATTCATATATCTTTGATTTCTGAATAATCTATTAGATATTTGTGTGGAATTGGCTATGGGACTCATGTTTCTTTATAATAATGGGTAATGTAAAAAGGGTATTCTCCTATAAAGACATTATTTTGTCATGTAGAGATATTTATTTACGGATGGTTCGCTTGGATAAGGAGTTGTGTGAAAACCAGACATTTCTAAATTTTGCATCTACAAAGCTATTACTTTCCTTCTTTATACAATATCGAATCAAATTTATACACAAGGCAGGGTATATAAATGCTCTATCACAAACATATATATCTTTATCGAATATTCATACTGTATGCAATGCAATTTATTGACCATGTGCGGTCAACTATGGTAAAAATTCATTATTGGTCCATACGTCACCCAATAGATCGAATTTCTTAACTTCACGGTCGGCGAAGTGAATGAGGATACCATCCTGAATGTTGTACTTCTTTTTATCCCTATCGTATAATCCACCAGTTTTCGAATAACCGCACCAAGTGTATCCGGCACAGTAGTCACTCAAGCTTATCCAAGATCTGCTTGGCTCTCCCTCAAGGTTATCGGCCTCAACCACGACATGAGGTGGGATAACAGCATCTCTAAGCACCAATTTATTCTTGAAAAATGCCTCGAATTCTAAAACAGTCTTTAAATGTGTGTACCGTTTTCCTATTTCGAATTCCTTTTGGAAGTTAACTCTGCTGTTTTGTCCACAATGATGGAATCCGGAATTAAACCAGAGCAAACTATGATTATCTTCATCGTTTATATGACCTGGATGATTTGAACAAACTTCTTTTGCGCCATATTTAGATGGCAGTCTTTCAATGTCAGGAGTAACATATCCAATGGCTGCCAGGAAGTGGTCATTGAAGGCATAGTTTTCATTACCTGAAACCACAAATGCTAGCCAAAATAGCTCTTTATCCCCATAAACTCTAGCTTGTACTGGTAAATGAAAGATCAATTGAGACATAATCAAAGCTTGACTAAAGTGTCTTTTACGATTGATAACCACTAGACCACTTTCCATATAATGATTCAAACCTTGGAAAAATTTTCTATCTAAAGTATATCCAGTAGTCTGAGGGATATTGAAAAATAATGAATCCATTAATGATGGCATCATTTTTTTGAAGAACATTACATCGCTTTTTGGTCTATATTCAACAGCTAGTCTATCTTTATAGAACATTGTTCCGGCGTTTTGGTATTTGCGTAATCCAAAGAAAAATTCAGGTTTCTCCAAAACTACTGTGTCGGCATCCAACAAGATCATTTCTTCAAACGAGTTGAAGAGAGTTGCCAAAATCTTATTTCCAAAATTACCAAACTTTTCAATATATTTGGGCTTGACAGCAGTAGAAACATCAATAAATGAAATGTCCTGAGGCGGTAGATCCGAATTATTTAACTTGTATTCACGTCTACATGCCTCGATCAACTTGTTTCTTGAGTCCTCCGATAAATTTTTGTAATAGATAATTTCTATTGGTAATGTGTTTTCCAACGCTCTCAACAATTGGACAAGTCTTATAGTCAACTCCAAATGACTGTCAGCTATTGTCAAGACAATCCCGCGCCCCTTGAGATTATCTTTGAAATTGGATAAGAAGCATGGTCTGGTAAAGCGATCCATCAATTTATTTTGCTTCTTGGGGAAACGTGTAGTAGTGCCATCCCATTTCATATAAACAGGCATTTCAAAGCTGAGCCAAGGGTACAATTTTGCTTCTACTTCGCTGCATGTATAGTGTAATTTATCAGAAATCCCAAAGTCTATTGGGCTCTTACTAGACATAAGTTTCCTTTGTTCTTCAATAAATTTGGCATCTTCTGGAGCGTCGATATAACATTTGTTGTATATTTTCAAATGGGTCAAATAATCATGCAACGTTTTTTCCTCTTTTCGAATCACTTTCCAAGCATCTGACAGATCCTCCGTCTTGTAGTCGGCCCTATTGAATCCAAAATGCAGATGTGGACCTATAAAGTTCGATTCGTTCTTCATAAGTGTATTCATGTACAAATTGCACCTCTGTTTGAACGAATGGTCGTTCAATGCACTTCCCAATCCTTCTTGCTCGATGATTGTGTCGTACACTGATGAATGAAGCATAATATTCTTCAATTCTTCATGTCTGCCGACCTTAGAGAATAATGACTCAACCACATTATTGTCGTAGATATCATTATCAACTCGTCTACTCACATGATAGAATACCCAAAGGCATAGCAACCAGCCGACAATTACCGTTCTTATAACTGTTTTTTTGCTTAATGGTCTAAATGCCATGATCCTTGACTCCTTCACTAATATTGTCAAACGATTCTATTTTTTGCCCACGCTTACTGTATACTAACTACCGAACCCTGAGATCTCCTTAATACCAAAATAAACGAAAACAAGTACTCAAATCTAACCATTGCTTCCTTATGGCATTGAAATTCTTTATAAATGCGAACCACGTTTCTCATCATACTGCATATTCAATTGTCCGATACGCCAGACACAATAGATTTACAAGCCCCTTGTTGTTAATGGTCGAGTGACAACAAGGTCGAAAGAATTGCGGCCACTAACCACCCCTATTATAATTCGTTTATACTAGTGTAACCCGTTCATATTGGTATATACGTCTTGTGAGGACAATCCTGGGTATTCAGCTCATTCCAGACTCGAACCTGCGCCTCTATTTAGCGAGTTTAGCGAAGGCGCATGCGTGTGCCACGAGCAATCGAACTCTACCCGAACAGAGAACGTCGGGTAACTTCCTACGTAAAATGGTCGTAAACAGTTTACCGTACGACTTGAACTAACGTACTGTGAATCTGACAATTTGGATTAAATATAGTTATTGGTAATATTCGCCCATTTCTACATCTGATCGAATCCTGTTAGATACGCAACCAATGTTTGTTAGACATATATACTGGATTTCTTAATGGTTGTTTCCGATTACCCAAAAATACTAGATCCATAAACCAGGTGTATGGAACCAGACGTCGCTCGCATGTCCTCATATTTAAAACGCTACGTCAATATGGAACCATCCCATTGGCTATCGCTTCTGTTATCAGTTTGAATCGTACTATTTTTTTGGCACCCATTTTAATAATATTCTCCATACGCGATATAATATTCTGCTGCATACGTCGAACTACTCTCTATCTTTCACAAGCCAAAACGCCCAAACGTCGATCAATGTCCATCTTATATCTGGTGGCCATATTAGTCGCTATAGACTAGGTGTGTATCTATGGTGGACCCACAATAGCTTATCGTTATCACTAAATAATAGAGGTTACATAATCAGGATTGATAGAAGCATTCGATATCTACTAGTAGATATCGCTATCACTGTACTTTCGCGGCATTCCGAGTAGCCACAGAAAAGTTTCCCTGTTGTCATTCCTAGCAATCGTCGTCCGTTCCTTTATGGGGTCATTTCTCAATAACACATCTTACATCTACCTCTCCACCCTGTCCCACTGCAACCATTAGACGAACAATCCTAGTCCCCCCAAGAACAACATTGTTTTCGAAATATGCCAGAGCACGTGATACACAATTTAGTTGGCATACGGCGCCGTCTATCTAACCCCATTTTGTATTGTATCATCCATATCTGTAGATAACGATAAACAGACTATACTACATTATTGCATGAGTAGAGATCGCTTGGTATCTTGGGAACGGCTGTTTATGCGAGGAGAACTGATAGGGAATTGGACGTAATTAATCGCTCCCGCCCACGCTTTAACCATATGTCCAGCCATATAGCTATACTTTCACGACTGGAAGTCCGTTGGCATCCATGGATCCAGACATCCTTGTCAAGTCTATATGTATAAAGCTCTACGCGTATTGTTAGACAAATGCTCGGTATATACCAGTTATGTCAACATGTGAATATTGAGTCTCAGGCGACACTGCTATTCGACAGAGATCAATGTCTGTTTGAGGTATAGTCTGTAGATACAAGGTTCGAGACAATAGTGCAGGAGAATATCTACGGCACTTTTTGATCGGCCATTTTTGGAATGCAGATATACGCTACTATCTATTGTTAATGCTAGTCACCTAAAGTGACTAGCGGGGTCGTGTATATTAGGTGAATAATATCAATTGGAATTTTTGCAATTGATAAGAACTAAATATTGAATGCAACCAACCTGGCCAAACATCGGAGACATATAAGTACGAGACATTATCCTGGAATAATGGCGAACAAAGAAAACCAGATTTTATTCAGAAAACTATTGATCTGTGATTATAGGCTCATATATATTACACGATGCCTGAAAAAGAACTTAATTATATAAGGTCAGCAGACGCTGCTACGTCCAACGAGAAAGATGGTGGAGTTTTTGTCGATGCTTTTGAAGCCAGTGATAACAAGGCCCCTATGGGCAGATTTGAAAAGTTCCGTGACTCGTTTAGGAGATTCGACGATACAGAATTGGGAATTGACCCTAACTTATCGGAAGTCGAAAGAGCTGCTATCATCACTGCTAACTCCCCATTGTCGAGATCTTTGAAGAATAGGCATTTGCAGATGATCGCCATTGGCGGGTCCATTGGTACGGGTCTTTTTGTGGGTTCTGGTACTACTTTGAGAACCGGGGGTCCAGCAGGGATTTTGATTGCTTATATTATCATCGGGGTGATGATTTATTGTACTGTTCAGGCGTTGGGAGAATTGGCTGTGACTTTCCCGGTTTCTGGTGCTTTCGTGACTTACAACACTCGTTTTATTTGTCCATCATGGGGTTTTGCTATGGCTTGGAACTATGCCTTGCAATGGTTGGTTGTGTTTCCGTTAGAATTAGTGGCTGCCTCTATTACAATTAAGTATTGGGATCTGAGTATCAATCTGGCGGCGTTTGTGGCTATTTTCTACGTTTTGATTGTTAGTATTAATTTCTTTGGTGTCAAAGGTTACGGTGAAGCAGAGTTTGTTTTCTCCCTTATTAAAGTCACCGCAGTAATCGGCTTTATTATATTAGGTATAATTATTGCTGCAGGAGGTGTAGGTAATCAAGGTTACCTTGGTGGTAGATACTGGCAACATCCAGGTGCCTTTGCTAATGGATTCAAAGGTGTATGCACTGTTTTCGTCACCGCTGCTTTTGCTTTTGCTGGTACTGAATTAGTCGGGTTAGCTTCTGCAGAATCTGCTAACCCAAGAAAGTCTTTACCAAAAGCGACCAAGCAAGTTTTCTGGAGAATTGTTTTATTTTACGTTATCTCGTTAACTTTAGTTGGTTTATTGGTTGAATATGATGACGACAGATTACTTTCTGATTCTTCCGTCGACGCTAAAGCCTCTCCTTTCGTTATTGCTATCAAGAATGCTGAGATTAGTGGATTACCATCGGTCATGAATGTTGTCATTATGATTTCCGTTTTATCTGTCGGTAATTCGTCTGTTTTTGCTTCTTCAAGAACTTTAGCCGCATTAGCAGCTGCAAAACAAGCGCCAAAGATTTTTGGCTACATTGATAAAAAGGGTCGTCCATTAGTCGGTATTATCGTCCAATGTACCTTTGGATTACTTTGTTTTGTCTCTGCATCTGATAAGCAAGGTGAGGTTTTCAATTGGTTGATGGCCTTGTCCGGTCTTTCTTCGATTTTTACCTGGGGTTCGATTAACTTCTGTCACATTAGATTCAGAAGGGCTTTGAAAGTACAAGGAAGAGACACTTCTGAGGTTGCATACACTTCTCAGGTTGGCCTTATTGGTTCATACATTGGTATGTCATTAAATATCTTGGTCTTAATTGCCCAATTTTGGGTCGCATTATTCCCATTGGGCTCTCCTCCAGACCCAAGTGCATTCTTCCAAAGTTATCTTGGTTTCCCAGTTGTTTTATTCTTCTACACCTGTCACAAACTTTATAGAAGAAACTGGAGACTCTATATTAGGGCTAAGGATATTGATATCGATACTGGTAGAAGAGACTTAGATTTGGATTTATTGAGGCAAGAACTTGCCGAAGAAAGAGCATTCATTGCCGCAAAACCTTTCTACGCTAGGGTTTGGCATTTCTGGTGTTAACCACCATTATCGTTTCCGGAGAAATGATACTATCATCGTTGGAACTATGTTCTAAAATTTCAATTCATCGTTTGGCGTACTATTAGTTTTCATTCTTATGTTGATTGCAGCACGTGATATAGTTGCAAATTATACATTGAATCTATAAAAGATCAATACATGTCTATATTATTTATTATTATTGTAGCAGTCGTAGCAGTAGATATTGTTTATGACTTGTATTCATCTAGCTCGATAGAAGAGGTGAACAATAGGATCCACGGTTGTAGACAGAATATATTTACTATGGACTAGAGGATAATCGATGCCATTATATAATCCAATTTTGAACATTATCGGTGTCCTGAACGTTATTGGTACCTGAAAATAATCGTCACACAAGTCATACTATGATACGAAAAGTATACCATAATTCAATTATAGAAACTACAGAACTGCTGAAAATAGTCACCTTAACAAGTTCAATGCGATGAATTTTCACCTAATATTAATATATCTAATATTTACTGTATAATCGATAGTATATACTTCAGAAGAATTATTTTTGGTAATCTTCAGGGTAGAAGATTAATCTCTCAACCCCCTTTTCGGTTAAAATGACCATTCTAATGACTCCACCTGATGATCCATCCCATTTAATGGCCTCAGACAATGCAGTCTTGATGAATTGAACACAATCGTCCTTTTCCATCTCAGGCTTGTAGTTTTCATTACACCAACCGTAAATGAACGTGGATCCCGAACCTGCAATCGCATAATCTTGTTGATGTATAGAACCCCCAATTGGAATCAGATACACCGTTCCCTTGTTTTGTTTATCATACCCAGCACAAATGATACCCGCAGTCAAATTATCCTTGTTGTTGTAACATAACTCTTGAAATACGTTCGCTGCTACCTTCGTCGTAGGCCTTTCGTTGTTTGGTAATTGTGATGAGTAAACCTGCAAATGATACTTAACAATGTCCGCCACAGCCTGTGTATCTGCTGCTGATCCAGACCGGCAACAATATATGGTATCGTGAATTTGCGTCAACTTATCTGTAACTCTGTTGGCGATATATGATCCAGTTGTTGTTCTTGAATCGGCTCCTAATATAACCCCATCCTTAAATGTAACGGCCATAATTGATGTACCTAAATTAACTTCTCCTTTCTTCAAATGATGAATATCAACTGAAATACCGTTCATTTTGTATGATTAACTTATAATTGACTATATAATGACTATTGTCTTGCTAGTCTATGAAAATTGCCACCTCCAATTTTGAATGAGATCGAATTGTGCGTGGGTTTGTGTCACTTTTCATTTATACCAGTAGAATATCAGCCATTAAGATCAGGCCGGATCATATAAATGGCTAGACAATGAAGGGTTTATTAGGGATTGTATTCCTATGTATAAGTGTGGTATCGTTGTTCATCGATAAGCATGCATTAATGGATAAATTAACTGTGCAAGAAATCAATTTCTTGCACCGTGATCCGCTAATCACACATAAAGTACATATTGAAATCACCAAACTTGTAAAGCGGAAGAACAAGGATGGGGTTAAACCTGTTGTTATCGGGGAACTACACGCTGGTATCTTTGGTTATACCGTGCCGTTCACTGTAAATAATTTTATTCAGTTGGCAAATAGAACGAATGGGTACGGATATCATGACAGGACATTATTTCACCGTGTAATCAAGGATTTTATGATTCAAACTGGAGACTATCAGTTTGGGGAAGGGTATGGAGGACATTCAATTTACAATAATAAGGGAAAGTTTAGAGACGAGAATTTTAAATTGAAGCATGATAAGCAAGGACGGATGTCCATGGCCAATGGGGGACCCAATACCAACGGAGGACAGTTTTTTATTACAACAAATGAAGAATGTCCGTGGTTGGACGGAAAGCACGTTGTATTTGGCCAAATTATTAACGGATTCGACACGTTGGATTATGTCAATACTGCTCGAACAGACAAGAATGACAGACCCAATGAAGAATACGTGATGTCTAAAATCACTATAGAAACCTTAGACGAAAATTATCTTAGCACTATAGACTTATCCAGAGTTAATGATATCGGATACAATACCATGGTTGGAGAAACGTCACTGAGTTATACGTATATTTCTCTCTTTTTGCTCTGTGCGGCACTCGGAATGCTTTATAGAAGATGGCATTACAGGAGACAAGCCTTCTCTGATATGAAAGATCCTGATTTTTACTAAGCCATGCTACATACATTATTTATTTATATATTCTTTACATAGGGTAACACCAACAAAACTCATTAATGTTTTAGTTTTGATGCTCTTCTTAGTTAAAATACGTTCCATATGGCATGATCTTTCTTCTCTTGATTGGGTCCTCCAAGGCTGCGAAATAGGACCACTGTTTTATCCCATTCTTAGTAAACAAAACTCACTTTTTTCTAATCAGCTAACTCCAAATAAGAATTCAGAAACTGCTATCTTCTTCTTCTTTATTATTTCTTGGTGATATCTACCATGGTGTAAATGTAAGAATTACATCTCAATCTGGGACCAGAAAATTCAAATAAAAAATCATCGCACAGTTGAAAATGAAGGATAACAAATAGACCAATCTATATAAACCATGTCTACAACAAATGACTTTCCAATAGTGTTAGTCAAGAATCTTCCATATGATGTGTCAACGAAATCCTTATATGAATTGGCAGGGAAGTTTGGCAATATTCACCAAATTAGAATACCAGTTGATGAACAAAATAAGGGCACTTGCTTTATAGTGTATAATAACCTATCAAACGCAATCAAGGCATCCAAGAGTTTAAACGGTATAAATTTCCAGGGAAGATACCTCGTTAGCATGCATTACTCGGTTGATAAATCGAAATTATCCGAAGAGGACTTCAAGTATCGTAAGGAACAATTAGAAAAGTTAAAACTTGAGCATTCTATATAGTAATAATTTTTCTTTATATCGCTGTATGTATATATATTATTTATTTATTTATCTTTCTTGTCAATTGAAATATCAATTAAACTTAACAAGTAATAACTGGTCAACCCAATAAAGATAAATCCTGATATTTTCATAACCTTCCACCAATAGTTAACTTGGGTGTATTTGAACATTAATAAGACATCAATGTTACTTAAGTCGTCAAAAATGTTATTGTATTTCAAGGTGACCTTTATATGGCCCTTGGATACATCAAGGTAGGATAATTCATTGCCCACTTCAACGGATGAAAATTCGATTGGAGAAGAAACATTTACAAATTCTGCACTTTCTGGTAAGTAGAAGTTCAATGAGACGTCCTCGTACGTGATATCTTTGATGGAGTTCAATAATGGGAATTTTACCATGTAGGTGTCAGGTTCATCATTCAATTTGTGAATATAATTCTTGATTTGGTTGTTCCAGCCAAGAGTGAAATTATAATTCCATCCTCCGAAAAGGGGGAATCTTGGTCTCAAAAATAAGTTGTTTGAGCTGACTGAATGGGTGGAAACCATACCAACTAAATCAGTAAAGTAGTAATCCTCGAATTGATTTATATCGGTGTATGGGAATTGCAAGTGAGAAAGTGCCCAATGGTTTCTGGTGGTTTCGTATTTGCCTTGCATCCAGTCTACTCTCAGGAAACCAGTCGATAATTCGGCAGCATTGTTGGTTAATTCATAGTACTCCTCGATGGCTAAATTGTCTGTATTGGAAGCAGGAACCCAAACAGATCTTTCCAAATTGTTGACCTTGGCTAACGGCCTGTTGTGTTCGTATAACAACCCCATTGGCTGAACGGTGTATGGCTGAATATCGGTCAATAATGGCCCATACACTAACGACTTGTTTTCGACCCTGGGTTTCAATTCAGGGGCATTTTCCGTGAATTCGTATCCCAGGTTGCCAGCTAAATGCAATTCCATTTCCTGGCCCTTCAGAATCCCCGTGAACGTCATGGTGTATGTCTTCGTCAAGTACGGCGAGTACGCAAACTTGTTCAACTTCACCAACAAATGCTGAGTGGCATCCATGGCCAATTTGTTTGGCAATGGGCTCAATGTATCTATGTAAACGTAACGGACCTTTAAATCAACCTTCGAATTAGGCGCCACCGGTGCTGGAAGCTTCAACTTGTAAACCCCATGCTCGACCTCTATCGCGTCAATCGCAATCGGCTGGTCAACCATCGACACAGAAATCACAGACACATTAGGCACAATACCAAACCCGTCATTGACGGTGAAGTAGTATTCGTCCTGTGGCTTGTTATTGGTATTTTTGGCCTCAATTAAGCAGCTTTCCTTGACATACGATCTTGAAAGATCGATCGACCTGATGTAGTTAACATTTTCCCATGTCGTTTTAATGTCCACACATTGACATACGCCGACTAAAAATAAAGTCGTAAGTATGCTAATCAATGAATTCACCTTCATATTACTGTCAATTCAATTGAGTGGGTGTATTATGTCCTTTTCTTCTGTATTTATGTCCGTATATTGAACACCTAATTCACTTTTTTCATTAGTAGGTAGATCCACGAATTATGTAATCGCAACTGTGAAATTTTTAAAGTCAATAAAACTTCGACCTATAACAGCCGCCACTATATACTCTTTAGATACAAGGTTGTATAGATAGAAGTGATGTCGTTACAAGATCTTATTCCTGTGGTCAATAAGTTGCAAGATATTGTGACTACCACGCAGCTAGCAGACTTAGATTTGCCAATATTGGCAGTTGTTGGATCGCAATCATGTGGAAAGTCTTCAGTATTAGAAAACATCGTGGGTAAGGATTTTTTGCCTAGGGGAACTGGTATTGTCACCAGAAGGCCGTTGGTGTTGCAGTTGATCAATATTAAGCCGGACGACCCGCTTATTCACGAGCAGGGGAAGATGAACGGGTCGAGTGGCGGGCGTAACTCAGTGACGGAGGACGGAGATATGAACTTGGAGGACCATTTGAGAAAGCATTCGAACGGGGGCAAGCGCCAGCCGGCTTCAGAATGGGGTGAATTCTTGCATCTTCCTAAAAAGAGGTTCTACAATTTCCATGACATTAGAGATGAAATAGCAAACGAGACCAGCAGGATTGCTGGCGAGAACAAAGGAATAAGTAGGTTGCCGATCAACTTGAAAATCTATTCCACGAAGGTGTTGAATTTGACGTTGGTCGATTTGCCTGGTTTGACCAAGATTCCTATTGGCGACCAACCAACCGATATTGAGAGACAAACCAGGAATTTGATCTTAGAGTACATTTCCAAGCCTAACAGTATCATCTTGGCGGTATCGCCGGCGAATGTGGATTTGGTTAATTCTGAATCGTTGAAGTTGGCCAGACAGGTCGACCCAAAGGGTAAAAGAACGGTGGGGATCTTGTCAAAATTAGATTTGATGGACCACGGCACGAATGCATTAGATATTTTGAAAGGTAACGTCTATCCTTTGAAATTGGGATTTGTCGGTATTGTTAATAGGTCGCAGCAAGATATCGCTGATAATAAGCACTTGGATGATTCCTTATATGCTGAACAGCAATTTTTCCAAAACCACCCGGCTTACAGACAAATCTCTAATAAATGTGGTACGCGTTACTTGACTCAAACATTAAATAGAATTTTGATGAATCATATTAGAGATAGATTGCCAGATATTAAAGCTAAATTAAATACTTTGATGGGACAAACTGAACAAGAATTGCTCAACTACGGTGATTTACCATCCAATTTGAATGATTCCAAAGAAGTCAGGGGTGCTTTTGTGTTAACCTTAATGACCAAATTTGCTAACAGCTTTGTTAATTCAATCGAAGGTACATCTATGGGTGATATTGCCACAAAGGAATTGTGTGGTGGTGCTAGAATTTACTACATTTATAATGAAATATTCGGAGCACAATTGGCTTCCATAAATCCTACCCAGAACTTGTCTGTACATGATATTAGAACTGCTATTAGAAACTCTACTGGTCCTAGACCATCATTATTTGTTCCAGAAGTGGCATTTGATTTGTTGGTGAAGCCGCAAATTAGATTATTAGAATCTCCAGCGCGTAGATGTGTTGAGTTGGTTTATGAAGAATTGATGAAGATTGTTCATAGTGTCTGCTCTTCAGGATTTGGCGTTGAATTAAACAGATATCCAAAATTACAAAGTAAATTAATTGAAGTGGTATCAGATTTATTAAGAGAAAGATTAGGGCCAACAATAAAGTACGTTGAGTCCATGATTGAAATTCACACTGCTTATATTAACACCAATCATCCGAACTTCGTTGGTGCTGCGAAAGCCATGAGTATGGTTGCTGAAGAACGCCAGAAACAAAAAGAATTAGAACTGACATCAAAATTAAGGTTGGCAAGTGAAAGAATTTTAAACGGTAAGAACTATGAGAGCATTGAAGAATTGGAAGAGACTACCGACGGATCTAATGAAGAAAGAGAAGAGATCGATATTAATCAAGTGGATGACGAAATTAAACCTGTCAAGCACAAAAGAGCTGAATCCAATAAGACTACAATGTCACATAAGTCTGAATCTGCGCCAAATCTACCTACTTCGTCGGCGCAGCCACTTCAAGATTCTTATTTGAACTACTTCTTTGGTAAGGATCCAATCACCCACCAACAGCATTTGCAAACACAAGCCCAATTACATCCTACGCCATTTAAATTTCCTCAACACCAAGATAGTACTTTGCAATTCAATAACAACTTTCTTCCAAATGGTCATATGAATGGAATCCACCAATCAAGTTTCAGTACAAATTCAAATGCCAGTTCCACGCCCAAGTCGGATCCAGTATCCCAGGATTCTCAATCTACAATTGATTTGAACTCTTTGAATTTGAACGAGCAACAATTTGAGAGTGAAGATTCACTTAGCGAGTTGAACGAAAGAGAGCAATTAGAATGCGAATTGATTAGAAGATTGATCATCTCCTACTTTAGTATTATAAGGGAAATGATTCAGGATCAAGTTCCAAAGCTGATTATGTGTTTATTGGTTAACCATATCAAGCAGAATATCCAAAACAGATTGGTTATCAAGTTGTATAACGAAAACTTGTTCGACGAATTACTCCAAGAAGATGAGACTATTCAATCCGAAAGAGAAAAATGTATTGATCTTTTGAATACCTACCGTGAAGCTTCCAAAATCATAAGCGATGTTGTTTAGTGAGGCATCATTCATTAGTGCTTGCGCTGTATGTGTTATCTTGAAAATATTGTAAATACCTTGGAAATAGTAAATTTTGATAATTTATAGTTATTTATTTTATATGATTATGTTTGGTCTTCCATATATACCAGTTTAACCTATCCCCTTTCGCTCCTGCGTGCATCCCCCTGTCTATAGCCCGCTTTGTCTATTTATTGGGCCTGTCGTATACATACAAGTCTAGTCCATCGTGAAACCCACTCACCAAGCTGCTTTTCCGTATCTTGTACTTGGTCAACTTCTTCTCTTCTTGAAAACTGAAACTACTTGTTTTTACTAGCAAACTCACACTAAAGACACTCCCCTTTCTCTTACTAATATGCTCGATATCCTCTTTCGTCAACCTGCCTATATTGAGTCTCAAATTTACCAAAAAGTCCACTGAAACATTCATGTAGCACTTCCACTCGTGCTCGTTTATGTCAATAACGATGCGATTGTTCCGCAAACTATTTTCCTCCAACAATTTGCCTATAGGCTTGTTGGTTAACACATCCACTAATTCGCGTCGTATAGTCCCTATCAAAGAATTTATATCTCCGTTCGATAGTTTCAATATATTGATCTTCTGTAACTTGACTATCGATTTTTCGTTAACCGATATAACAGACGCATTTTCAAGAAGCTTTGACCGGTTGACAAATATCCTTACCGGAATACTCTTGTCTGGTGTTACTCTAATAAAGCTGGTTGTGGCTGGCATATCTCTGTGTCACACTATCTCTCTACCTAAAATGGACCGATTGTACTATATTTAGGGATCTCGCCTATATCAACAGTCATGTGACTTATGTCCCAGCAGCCCACGTTGACTACCTTGTTTTGGGTCCTGGCTAACGCCATATGTATCACCCGTGTAGGAATAAAAAAATATTGGGATAAGAAGCCGTTGGTTTAAAGAAACTGATTCCTTTGTTGTGGGTTAAAAGAAAGAAGACGAAACTAAGAATTTCAAGAAGTTAGATTTTTTGACACCTTTTTTGCAGTTAAATAATGATGCTAGTTAATAAGAGACAGACGCCATGTATATTTATGTCCTTCATCATTGGACTCGTATTTTTCACTGTATTTAATATATCGAAAGGTAACATTGATCGGGATTCCATCAGCAAGCATTTTTCCTCCGTTACAGAGGCCAAATCACAGCCTGGAGAGTCAATGGCTTCCAAGGCAAGGAAAGCATTCAAAAAGAAGGTTTATATCGACGACGAGTTCGATTATTCCAAAATCACATACACGAATACCAAGTTGGTGAACTCAGGGACCGATAAGAGCATGTTGGTTGTTTCAAGTGTTGGAAATAAAGATAGTTATGGGAAGGACAAATCGTTTGTGGATTTGTTGAATACGATTGGGCTGATTGACTACGAAGCGAACTCGATTTCCTTGGGCTTCTTAATAGGCGAAAAAGAAGAGTTTGGCAATGTGGAAACATTTTTCGACAATTATTTCAACGAATTAGCCAAGGTTGATGCAAATACTAAAAAAAAATTGGCTCAGTATGTTAATAGGGTCACATTACTCACGGCGCCATTTATAGATAAGGCGTTTCAAAGCATTGATAGAAATGACAGGCACAACGATAACTTGCAACGGTTAAGAAGAAGATCTATTGCAAGGTCCAGAAACTTTTTGTTGCTCCACACTCTACAGAACGAGAAATATACCCTATTCATTGACTCGGACATTGTGAAGATCCAACATCCTCAAATGATCAAAGCATTCATTGCAACAGGTAAAGATATCATAGTTCCTAGAATTGTACGTGGTGATCTTCAGGATTATGACAAGAACTCATGGGTCGGTGAAAGAACCGTTCCATCGCCAGAGCAATATAAAAAGTTGGATCTGAACGATTGGGAAAATTGGGACTATGTTCCAAGAGATGTTGAAGATAAAATGATGCACTTCGATAAATTCATAGAGAAGCATAAAGATGATCCATCTAACTATCTAAGTAAAAGACCTGGTTACTTAATGAAATTAGACTCAGTTGGTGGTGCCATTCTTTTTCTGAAATCGGTAATCTACAAACAAGGTGTTGTCTTCCCACCAAATTATATTATTGGAACTACATGGGACCGTTTGGAAGGCTACGACGGTATTGAAACAGAAGGTTTATGTTATGTGGCTAAATCATTAGGCTATGAGTGTTACGGTATGCCAAATATGGTTGCTGAACATTCTCCAGAATAAATTTATAATATATATAACTTCGTAATTAATAGAAGAGAATATTTGCGAGTATAAATAATGCGCTAATGAAAAATTATAAATGTAAATAAAACAATATTATGAAGAGCTTACTTGAATCATTGTCGAATAATTTACCTAAAGGTAACTATAAACTCTTTCATATTCAGTCACAACCATGCCAATGTAAACATTTGTTGATTTATCATAAAAAAAATGCCCAAAAACCAGCAATAACCATAAAGATCAAACACTTTATAAGCTTGATAGATGATGATAATCTTGTTATTATGGGAATTGAGGTTTACATTTACTTAACGGTGTTTGACGATCAGTTAAAGCATAGTATATTCATTTCAAAAGCAGATACTACTGGTTTATCGACTCAGAAATATAAAATAAACCAATTGATCGATGATATCTTGCAATATTTGATCCAATATGACGTACGGAATTACTGCCGTAAAATCAAATTGAGGTCATACGAAGCGGTTAATAGATCAGGAAGTAATCCTACAATTAACAATTTGAATCGGATAATTGGTAAATTGAGAGAAGGTACGTCATATTATAAATCAATCCCTTATTACAACGAAGTGGTGATCCCATCCACAAGCGACAACTTGGAAACAATCGTGCCCCCAGAGCGTATTCAGACTTCTATATCGTTATTTACCAGGGCGTCGGAGCAGTATCTTTTCCCAAATTCATCCAAAAATGATAGAAAACACGTAATTGGCGGCGATGATTTATTAAATTGGTGGATAAGGTTGATCAACAGAACACTTTTAAATCAAACAAAAGAAAGTAATTGGAACTGTCGATTGCATATTCCGGGCTCAGACAAAGTTTCGATATCTAAAAAGTTGCCTGCTCATAATAATAATGTTGCATGGTCAATTGGCAGCATATTTGATAAAGATGCAGAGAAGTTGGCAATTAATCAGATCCCTTTATTTCCTGATGACCCTAAAGGGCGTTTCTTGGAACATCTAATAGTCGAAAACAGATACAAGTCTACCAATTTGAAACAGTTTTGGCAAGAACTAGGGTTTAGACAGGAATTTCGGTTAGGAAATGTTGTTGGTATAATAGGTTGTGAAAGAGAAGTATTGGTTATAGATCCAGTTGAGACTACACATGACGTATGCGTCTTGCCGTTGGGTCAATATAAGAAGATATTGAATAGCATAAAAGGTGCAGATTTTAGTGATGCAAACGATATAAAAGCATTGGTAACTGTCAAGATTCCCGATTCAATGAAAGAGTTTTACGCAACGAATTATTATATTTCACTTGAAGGTTTAAATAGCACTATGCCTAGAACAGCAGCCATGCCAATAGTTAACGATTTGAATCTGAGTGTGAAGAGAAAATCAGACGCACCAAAGAGAGAAATTGTTAATGATATATCTGGATCTATAAAAAGAAAGCCAGTCAATGACATATCTGGCTCCATAAAACGAACGCCTGTAAACGACTTATCTGGATCTATAAAAAGAAAACCTGTCAATGACATATCCGGCTCCGTAAAACGAAAGCCTGTGAATATATCTGCTCCTGTGGAGAAGATGCCTGTCAATAATCTAGCGAATAAACCGGAGAACACGTCATCTTACCGTGAATCAACTCAGGGACACTCCCCTAAAATCAACGTTATAAATAGCTTGATCAAAAGAAAATCAAAGAACTAAGCATCTGTATCAATGCTATATATTGCACATAATAAATACTTGCATACATTAAAACACGTACCTAATCAACGATTTTACCTGGTTATATGGCTGCGTTCTCCAGCTGATCGTAACATAGTTCTCTGTAATCCTGTTGGGTTGTTCATAATCATCACAGCCTAGAAAATATGTAGCAATATGTAATGAAAACTTATTACATGGTCTATAGAACGAAAAGGCCAATAGAAGAAAGTCTATTTTCATATGGCGCATTTGGAACAAACATAGCCCTGTTTCACTTCCTGGCAATGTATCTTCCCCTTAAACTCATCGATTTATTTCTTTATCTTCACCTCATCTCTGGCCAACGCAATATCAGTGGACAATACTCCAGGTCATGTTATTTCACTTCCGTTCTGTAAAAGTTGCAAATTCTATTATGTAATTCTGATTGTGCTTTAGGTTCCAAGAACCACGCGACAATAGTATCCCCTATTATAGTCTAATCTTCGCTCTATTTCCTTCAAAATCTCTCCACGGTTGCGATGTATCTTCAACTCCGCGCCGAGCCATCTCTTGCGGTTCTGTCTGATCCACTAAATTGTTCTCCTATAGTCGTCATGGCATTCCGCAGCAATATCGTCTGAAGATATACTTTTTACATGATGTAAGAACCTGCCCATTGCAGTGTATATGTCGAGATTTATTAATAATCTCGACAGACACGTTGTTATCATGTTCGTTCAAGTGTAGATAACTCAATTAAGTCGGCTGTTTCGTAATATACTACGGCATAAACCTATACGCCACTATATAGCCATAATGTATGACTCTATAGACTCTTAAATCCCATATGCATCGTAATTTCTTGCCGTAAGCATAAAGTCTAGAATCCAACTTGATTCTTATCAATCAATATTGTGGAGATAACGCCATATCAATCAAAACTGAAAATGTTTGTGGCCGATTTTCTTTGTAACAAAATCATTTTTTTTTTGGTGAATTAATATTTTATATTTTTTACTTCTTTTCCTTATTAGCAGATTTATACACAGATATAGGTCTATTCAAATCAATATGAAAGAAGTGGTATCACCTAAGTCAGATGCTGCAAGCTTAGCTACGAGTAATGGAGATGGTAGTATTGTAACTCCGAAAAGTGGACAAGGTAGTCCGAATATGCTTAAAATTTCGACCATAAATAACGATATTCGGATCGGAAGATCTCCCAGTATAAAGAATAATGGATTGGCTAGTTCATTATCTAATGTTAGGAACAATAGGTCTCCAAATCATAGTAGACATGGGTCAATTGCTGGTGATGATACCGATAAGCTCGGACCGAACCAACTAGAAGGTTCTACCAACTTGCGCAAATTGAGCAACGAACAGATCATCGATCTTATGGAAAAAGAGCAGGATGGGATTGTAGTAAAGCTTATGAAGGACATAAATACGTTAAAACAAGAACTCCATCAGTGGAAAACCGGCGTAATGCCGGCACAACTCAGATCGCCATCATTCGACCACAGGCTGTCTGTAGTATCCAGTACATCTTCGGTTGATTCTGTGGAACGTGAGAGGAGCCGTAGAAGATCTTCTAACGAAGCACCACCGGCAGGATCTTTTTTTGACAATGGGCATTTGATCTGTGAAAATAATAGGTTGAAGCAAGAAAACGATCTCTTGAGACAAAAACTCAACGAGTTGAATAAGCTAAATAAGTAGTAGATTGTGTCTTTGATTCGACATACTACACGGCATTCTGGATAACTCTCCACGACTATTATTATTACTTCTATTACATTGCTCGCGACTACGTTTTACATGCCAGATTATTACTAGATAACTATGAGATCGTTATCAATTAGTACAGGATCATTATCAGATCACTGGCTATGTACCTATATGGGAAGATCAATTATGTTGAATGCTTGATGATTGCATTTTGCGTTGCGCCGATCAGATTTGCACTGATTTTGTTTCCCGGATTTCCACCGAAGAGAGCATTTTCCTCATAGCTGGATTAATTTTCAATCTACTATATACTTATATAATAATTTACATTCAGGATAAAGATGTTGTAATACTTTTTCGTAGGATATTATTGTGTTTTTAAATTGTAAGTTGTTTGTGGATAAAGTGTCAAAATGTAATTATTTTTGTAATTCGCAGCCATAAATAGTACAAATTCAATGGATTTGCTATTATTCATAGACTTCTTTCTATACTATTAACAATGAAGTACTTAATATGCATAGCTCTCCTCGTAGGGCAAGCAATTGCCATCAACTTCGATAGTTCCGAAAACTATGAGGTAGAAAATACGGAAGTTCAGAAGGAATCGAATCCCGTGGCCAATCGATTACCTTTCCCCCGTTGGTTGACCGATTTCACAGGTCTAACCGAATGGCCAGGAATGGATCCACCATACATTCCATTAGATTTCATAGACGTCAAATCAATTCCTGATGGAATACCTCGACATGGAAACGGTCATTGTGAACCAGTCATTAATAACCATGAAACTTGCTCGTTTGATTGCTATAATTGCGTCTCCGCTGACGACGTATATACTTGTCCAAAACTATCCCAAACATTCGACGATGGTCCTTCGTTGATGACACTAAAGTTGCTTGATAACTTGAAATCGAAATCCACATTCTTCACCTTGGGTGTGAACATAGTTCTCTTTCCCGATATTTATCGCAAAACTCTGCAAATGGGCCATATCATGGGCTCTCATACATGGTCACATAAGTTTTTACCAAGTCTAACAAACGAACAGATAATTGCTCAAATTGAATGGTCCATCTGGGCCATGAATGCTACGTGTGGGCATCTACCAAAATGGTTTAGGCCACCATATGGTGGTCTCGATAACAGAGTCAGATCCATTGTCAGGCAATTTGGGATGCAAAATGTAGTATGGGACTTCGACACCTTCGATTGGAAGTTAATTAGCGAAGATGATAAATCCAATCAGCATGAATTAGAAATCTACGACGATATAGAACGATTTAAGAAGACAAAAGGAAGTCAAGGTCTAATATTGGAACACGATGTGTACCCCAGAACCGTCGAAGTTGCAATCGAGGTTCACAAACTCATAGGCCCTGATCAGATTACAGTACCCCAATGCGTTGGGGGTATTGATTATATAAAAAAATTCATACATATATAGGCCCCAAAATATTCAGTACTGAGCTATGAGCCATTAATGCAAAAGTTTCACTAGAACCATCTTCGTAGCTTAGAAAATGCTCAGACGTAGAAAAGACACCCTAATAGTTCCTGCAATATAGAATGGCCCATGCCAGCAAAGTGATAAGGTTTTTATCACGTTTACGAAATGCTACTCTACGTATGTTTGGTTGCCATTCATTCAGCAGGCGAGACCACGGATAGGTGCTTTTCAGGCCCCATCATTCCTGTACACCTTATCCATATACTTACGGGCAATTCTCTCGTGAACCACTTAGTAAGAGTGTGCCATGTCTACATTGATAAAATCTAAGAACCGTGTCTGCAAAACATTCTTGCAATACAGTTTAGAAGTTGCATATATCTGCTTGTACCTACATTGTTCGGTTACAATAGGTTCTGTACTTCCAGTTAAAAATAGGCTCGAACGGTCTAGGTTCACGCATGGTAAACTGTATTCCACATATTTCTGGGAAGCACACTTTGATATTATTAGAAAACAAATACCATGAGTTAAACTATTCTTTCGCATTCGAAGCAGTTCCCGTAATCGAGTTTGCATTGCTCACGTAATAGTAGGGTAATTTTACCAGAGCAACTTTAAGTCTTGATAGAGCATCTGCGCAATTTCTCAGTTCTCCCGTAATCCAAGTATTCCGTGTGCTTGCATATCTTTGATAAAGGGCACTTACTCGGGCGGGTAGCTTGCACTCTTGTTCGGCGAACTGAAAAAGTGAAGACATAGGAAGAATTTTCAAACACTTACATTAGCATGTGAAAGTGGTGGTTAATATGTCAAGATGAGCTGATAAACCCGGGATCGGCATGTGATAATTACAGATATTTTGCAGCTAAGAATACAAGAACTATTGAATTATAGGGTATATATTTAACTTCACAATAACATTCATTGATAAGTAGCTTGATAGGTATATAAGTAGTTAACCAGTATTACAATACCCAAAACCTTAAAACAGGAATTGTACTAATAATTAAGTAGAAATAAATAACGGCAGGTGCACCATCACAATAAATAAATAAATAAATAAGTAGGTACCCGTAAACAGAGCTATGACATTTGATTATGCCGAGGCACTGACAACTGGTACTTGGTTGGAATTCGACGACCCGTTCAATAACTCAGCACTCTCATTACGGATTTCGTTCGCCTTGCTGTTAATGGAAGAAATGCCTTGCTTGGCATCAGAAATAAACGAGTCGGCCTTATTTCTGGTAGTAGTAGCCACATCAGCAACGTATTCCTGGGTCTGGTTGTTGACATCGCTCATAAATCTGTATCCGGTATTGTAGCTTGCCACGAGCTTCTTCTTGTAGACAGATGCGTCGTCCTTCATGGTGTTCAACTCATCGTTATAAGTGGAAATCAAGTTGCTAGACACGTCGTTTGACTTGTTAGAAACAAACGTCTTGGCTCTAGAAACAAACTCATTGATAATCTTGAAAAATTTAGATACCTCGGATGATTCGTCTAACTCCTCTAATTTGAAAGCCGCCTTATTTTCCTGAGCGGTTGCTGGCAAAACCTTGTCACCCGCCTTGTAGATTATATTGTTGATTGGCCTCAAAATACTGGCATTAACATAGTTATATGCCCCCTTTGCGTATACCACTGGGTTCAACTGGTCACCAGATGGAGCCTGTTCTAAACCCCAGTCAACTTTCGACAAAACAATGGCATCAAACTTTTCATCAACAAAGGTCAAACTATCGTAGATGACACCAACCGATGATAACTTGGTGTTAGCAAAATTAATAACACTAATAGCATATTGGTACACAATGTTTACCAATGAAAATGATAACAAAAAGCCTTCAGTCTGTTTGGTAAAGGAATAAGAACGAATGTGGTTAATCGATTTCGATTCAAACCTCTTGTTTGGTGTGGTTTTATCAACTATTTCAGACATCTTAACACTATTGCTCTATAAAGATTAAATTAATATAGTCCAGAAGAATATAAAAAAATCTACATTTATTTTCGGTTCCAAGGGGGCATTGTAAAGTATTTATATGCTCCCACAAGAGAACTTATCTCGCAAATAAATTCCAGAAACCATGCAATCCCAAATGTGGTACCTATCTTGTTCTTCCTGTTTACGATTAGGCCATATTTATTCAGCAACCCACTCTAAACCAAGCCTCCTGTCCATGCCACAAACCAGTTAAGTACTTGCCTGTAGGTAATAATTGTGGATTCCTCTTTGGACTGTTGATTGCTATGTCTGCGATAACGACCTGAAGCACCGTGTTATAGAAAAAAGGTACTGATGTTTGGGTGCAATACGATGAGAGCCCATAGTTAATCACATGGATGCGGATATCCGAAACGATTGGCATATGAAACATCGTACACCAGGAACAATTGCTGCAATGCGTACCACATTGCAAAGTTATGTAGGTGCATGCACAAGCTCTAATTTGTCCCAGTTAATACGGCCTGTTGGGAGCGAGGTAAGAACAGCTAGAACGGCCCATGATCATAAATAAGTGGTATTAAGTGGAAAATATATGGAAAATGATATTTGGATGGAAGTTGGGATATGGTAGGAATAGGGAAACGACGATAGACTATGCAGCAATATAATAAGATCTGCAGGCGAGTGGAGGAGGCATCTTGACACTTGAGAAGTCGACGCAAGGTATAATGTCCAGAAGGATGAAGACGAGCCCTCCTCTGATACGTCATAGGGGTATATATTTTGCAATTGCGTATAAGCATCGTAGGAGTAGGCATCACGGGCGGAGATGTCGTAGTTCGTGGTGGTAAGATTACGAGACCTAAAATCCGATGACCAGAGTTCGATATGAGACTCTTGTAATGCTGGATCGTGTCTACGGATATAGTCGTGCTGTATGGACCTAACATTTGCAGTCAGGTTGCAATCTTCATTGGGAGTGGAAATACGGTTGTACAAAGAATTTAAAACATAAATTAAACTAGTCAACTACTTATTGTTGTTTACATTCTGGTGGATTTTCCTTTGGAGGTTCGTCGTCATCATCTTCATCACTGTCGCCTTCGCTTTCGCTGTCGAATTCGTCGTCCTGGTCGAAATCTTCTGGGAAGCCGAATCCAACTGCATCGCCGGTAAACCAGTCGATGGCTCTTGGGATCAAACGGTCCTTTATTTCTTCACCTAATTGGTAGTCCAATTCCAATCTTGCTTCCAAGTCTTCGTCTTCGTCTTGCTCTTCTTCGCTTTCATCCTCGTCTTTATCTTGGCTTTCCGATTCGTCGACCTTTGGTGGTTTTGGTGGGTCAAAAAAGTTGAAGAAAGATTCGCTAGGAGTCAACTTTTCGATGGTTCTGGTCTGCTTGGTGGTTTTGTTTCTTTGCTTTCTTCTTTCGATGTTGATGGTAACGTTGTTTTCCTTGGACTTCCAGTTAATTTCGCTTCCATCGGCGTGGTCATAAACAAAATCTCCCGAGTATCCTAATTCGGCTTGGTAATGGTACGTCTTGGTCAAAATGTTATTGGAAAAGTACGGGTTTTCCTTGAATTCGAAAATCAACTCGAAACCTGGCGTAGACAAATATTCCATTCTGATGTCGTTTAAGTACTTCAATAATTCGCTATCCCTTTCGGTTATAGTTTCGGAAACCGTCTGCAAGTTTTCTAACGCAGTCAACCAGAAACCAGGAATACCCTTTTCACCCTCGTCTTCGACCTCTTCGATCTTGTCCTTTTCTTCGTCGTCTTCGTCTTCATCTTCGTCGCCTTCGTCCAACGCTTCGCCCTCTTCGATTTCCCCTGCACTTGGTTCTTCGTCCCCGTTAATGACCTTCTTTCTTCTTTCGTACAATGGTTCGTACTTCTTAAAAAACCTCTTTTCTAACACTAACAACTCCTTTTGGAATTCGGCTTCCAATTTCATTTGTTGTTGTTGGATCGACTTCAATCCAAATACACGGTTTTTGACCGATTTTGGCAATGAATCAATATATCCACTTTGCTGCCCGACTAATGTTCCCAACTTACCTTGAATCATCGATAATAACGCTGGGTTGTTGGCTAATTGCGTGCTGATTCCATTTCCGCTTTCTTCTTCGCTGATGGTTGATACAGTTGGTGGTTGTGATTTCAAATACGAATTTGTAAGTGATGCTGGTGTATTTTGTGGTGTTGGAGCCTTGGAAATATCTCCATGCTTACTTCTAATAGGTTCTGACATGATTGATTAATCTAATTTATATTATTATTAAGAGCTATAGATGATAAAATACCACCTAATTAAAAAATTTCAACTCATCTATTTTACGCGTAAATTGGCCACCTAAACTAATTAAGGAGCAAGGAACGTTTTTATATACAATACAAAATTTATAGGTGTATAATCGTGAATTCATAAATAAATATAGAATATAAAATATAAATATATGGGCCGTAGAAGAAACAACGACTTAGATGGTTGGGATGTGATTTTGGGGCAATTCTACAGTAGATTCTTCAATATCGTCATATTGACCATCCAAAAATTTTTCAATATCATCTTTTCTCGTTTCCCATTGTTCGACTTGGGACAACTTGTGTTTGATTTCGTCAATCTCATGATCAAGACTCTTCAAGTTTTCCTCGGACGTCAAGTCATGGAATTCCCAATTCACACCACTCATGTCATTTTCGTCGGTACTGGTGGAGTTCTTAATCTCTAAAATGAAGTCGTGGTATTTCATTAATAAAGGCCTGTGACTCAAGGTGATGAAGGTGATTTTCTTTTTCTGCAATAATTCAAATAAGTAGTCCTCCACGTCGGTGGAAACGGCGTTGGTTGATTCGTCCAAGATGACGAATTTTGGGTTTTTGAACAAGACTCTGGCAATACTCATTCTTTGCTTCTCACCACCACTGAACACATCCTTCCAATCCTTTTTGACGTTGAAATTTCCTTCTCTCGATAACAAGTATTCCAACTTGACTTCCCTTAAAATATGGTACAAGTGGTCGTCATTGTATCCCATTTCGAGCATGTCGTCGTAACTGTGGGGATAGATGATTTGGTCTCTCAAGTTCCCGTTGTTGAAGTAAGTTTTCTGGGGCAAGTAGAAAATATCGTCATCGTCTGGTTTACTTAACAAACCAAAGTATAACGGCCATAATCCGGCCATAATTCTAGCAATTGAGGTCTTACCACATCCATTAGACCCCAAGATCAATAAGTTTTTGTTTTGGCTGATCAGGAAGTTTAATTTGTTGATCAATTTGTTGTTTTCCGATCCCTTGGTAGAAGGGATGATCACAGGAATATTCTCAAATCTGATACCCTCGTAATAGTTAGACTGGATAGTTCCTCTGATATCCTTAATACCTTGCTTAGAGCCATAATCAAATCTAGGTGAATGGACCTCATGTAAATTAGTCAATAAATTAAATACTCTATCCGTGTAACCGGTTAATTCAGAGATGTCTTTTATAGAATACATCAATCTTGAACCAGCGTCGGCTAACGACAACATTAATCTCTTATTGATAACGAATTGCCTCATATTTTGCTTCTCGTTAACAACGGCATTCTTATCTTCTTTGACAGGTCCTTCGTTCCTCATCTGTTGAATTGTCTTCCAGAAATCTTCAAGGAAAACTGGCAATCCAGCAAAGACATAACCCCAGGCAGACCATGTATACTTTAAAATGTAGTCTTCTATGACAGAATATCCAAAGGTAGTATTAATTTCATCACGTAAGTGGTCCGATAAATCATGGTACGTTTCTCTAAGTTTAGATTTCTCAATCACCGAACCTTTATAGAACGCAATTTCCTCACTGTTGGTAATCAAATTCAAGTGCTGATTATAGTACTGACCCTCAAGGTGAGTACCCGTTGCAGACAACTTTCCGAACGCTGGGGTGTTCTTCTTCAAAAACCATGCTGTCAAAAAATAATTACTGAAGATACCAACCAATGCACCGGTTCCCAACGTATCTCTTAAATAAACCGCAAAAAAGATTAAGTCAATCATGGGTTTACCCATACTAGAAAACAACCCACAGATCGAATCACAGAATTTGGTGATATCATTTGTGATGTACTGGTCGATATTTTGAATTCTAGACTCATTAAGTGACACCTTATAATAAACCATCATCTTGTCAAGATACATGTCATGCACGTATCTAATCAAGTTTGTTCTGAAGTTTAACGATAACCTGTTCGTCAAGTATTTGATGGCTGCATTGGTATAAGAGGCTGGGAAGGCAATCAATAACCAGTATATCAAATCACGAGCAAACTTCTTCCCATTACCACCGATCAAATTCTTCACTATCTGCCCGTCGAGTTTTGCTACCAACAACGACAACCACGTTCTCAAAATCAAGAAAAAACACTGGGACAACAACAACGACGTATTCTTGGAGTAGAAGCGCGGGATCAAAATTCTCCAAATAATCATCAATTGATTCAAAAACTTTGAGTTGAATAAGTTGTTCTGCGTCTTCAAATTCTGATCAATGATAAAGTTCTTGTACAAGTACTTATCGGCCGCGTACCGATCTTGGTTGGGCTTCGGAATTATAATTCTCGTAGTCGAATTCCTGCCCCTTGGAATAAAGATTTCTCGACTGCCATTTTTCAAGATCGTAGACGATTGTCTGATCAAAAATGGACGGTTCTGCTTCCTATTCAACTGGTAATCGGAGTACTGGTGGATCAAACTCTTCAACGTGAACAAAACCCCCAATCCAGCCGTGGACACAAGCGTACCCAAAAATAGCACCACCGGCCTCGACTTGTAGTTGATCCTGACCTTGTTGTCCTTGTATGTGATCACAAACTCCTGTAATATCAACAATAGATTCCGAATGTCATTTTTGTTATATCCGGCAATATTGGATATGCTGACCATATTGCTAACTCAAAATACAATTCAAAACGTCTGGGGTGTATCTCGCACGATCAGTTTATTAACTATACTATATCCAAAGACCTATAATTAAATTACCCCCTATAAGCAACAAGCGTTCCTTACAAAATTGGTTCAATTTGCTTGTGCTGAAGGTCAATTGTGATTCCCCACGAATGTGGCCAGGCCGAGGACCTTATCTTCGCTTATGTAATCGATGTTTTTTTCACTTTTCACCCATACACCAGAAAAGAAGCGTCCATCTATCGATGTGTTGAAGTGTCGAACTACAGCGTAATAGTGACTATATTTGGGCGGCATTATGGAACACCCACTGTCCGCTGGGAGACGACCACTCACCACTTCTTGCCGCTCGTTTGCTTCATAACACACTGTTTGAATAGATTGAACTCCGCGGCACACGTATCTTTTCCCATGGTGTTGTATGACTTTAGGACGCACTGGCCGTAGTTCAGTCCTTCTTTGGCACACTTGGCCGATTTAACCATGAGGTTTTTAGCGGGGCTTATTTTTGTCATGTTTGGAGGTGATCCGATTCGTAGACGTACTATATGTTTCGGCGCTACACCAAATAAATTACTTCTCATCGTAGAGGTATACGGATTGGTCGTGGACTTGTCGGATACCTGGCGATAGAATCTATATAGATCAAAATGTTTTCAAAAATTGTCAACAATAAGTTACAGTGGCCGAGTGGTTAAGGCGACGCCCTGCTATCGGCAGTTTAGGCGTTGGGTTTTACCTGCGCAGGTTCGAATCCTGTCTGTGACGCCATTTCGATTTTTTTTCCTGGTCGTTTTTCCGCTTTTTTGGGTTAGTCATTATGCCTAGCACCTAATCTCCAGATAATAACACAAAAAGATTTTTAAACGTTGGTTCGGTAAATAGTTTGACAATTGGTATCGGCTTTTAGGAAATACTCTAGTATATGAAGCGTTGGAACCCCAGCTAGAATTTGAAGTACCAGGTATCAAAAAGTATTGAAAAGATGGATCCTACAAATGACCCCAACTTCACCCCTCCATCATTAAATAAGGATATCCAGCCTACAGCTCCGTCGAGCCAAATACCTAAAAATATTCCCATTGAGCCTTTAGTTTTGGCAGATTTAGGTAATGCTATGGATGCTCCGTCCCCACACCCTTCTTCAGGAAGCTCGAGGGTTCATATGGTCCACGAAGACATGAAGGACGAACAATATAAGTCCAAGATTCCTAGAAAGCATACGGATTTGGTAAACTCGTCGTCCGACGACGATGCAAATGTACAGGAGGAGATTTTACCACCATCGGTCAAGGTTAAGAGTACACAAATTGCAGATTTGGAAGAGGTGCCCCAAGGCATCCAGAGACAGTCCAAGACGTTGGAGCAGTATCTGTTTCCAACCCATAGATTGGGTACTACGATGCGGGACGATACCAAGTATCCATTGGTCATAGTTGCATGCGGGTCTTTTTCGCCTATTACATATTTGCACTTGAGGATGTTCGAGATGGCATTAGATGCCATATCGGAGCAAACCCGATTCGAGGTTGTGGGAGGATATTTTAGTCCTGTGAGTTCGAATTATAAGAAACAGGGTTTGGCACCAGCACCCCACCGGGTCCGTATGTGTGAATTAGCATGCGAAAGGACGTCGTCGTGGTTGATGGTGGACGCCTGGGAGTCGTTGCAACCAAAATACACCAGAACGGCGTTGGTATTAGACCATTTCAACGAAGAGATCAATATCAAGAGAGAAGGTATCATGACCCAATCGGGCGAGAGGAGGGGAGTCAAGATTATGTTGTTAGCAGGTGGTGACTTGATTGAGTCGATGGGTGAGCCAGACGTATGGGCCGATCAAGATTTACATCACATTTTGGGCAAATACGGTTGTCTTATCGTCGAAAGAGCAGGTGCAGATGTTAGAAGCTTTTTATTGAGTCATGATATAATGTACGAGCATAGGAGAAACTTCTTAGTTATTAAACAATTGATTTACAACGATATTTCTTCCACAAAAATCAGGTTATTTATCAGGCGGGGCATGTCGGTTCAATACCTTTTACCAAACTCGGTGATTAGGTATATCCAAGAACATAAGTTGTATATTAACGAAACTGAGCCTGTCAAGCAAGTTATGGCCGATAAAACGGATTGAATGATCATTGTTTATTTGTGCTCTTTTCAATTCTTGTTGTATTATATTGTTCTATTCTAGTCTATTATATATTATTAATATAGAGATAGTTACTATATATGCGCGTCATTTATATTATCGTCAATTGTCTTGTTTTTAATTATTAAGTCCGAATTGTCATGGGTATTTTCAATTGTAAACCCGTTTTCATTCGCTAAATGTAATAAACAAATAAAGCAGAAACTAGTTGATAGGTCGTTCTTTTCTTCTTTCGAATATTTGTTGGTGAGGTTATTCAAAATTTTGCTAAATTTTGTGGACTCCTCCGGAGCACCCTCCCCTTCCAGATGTTGCGAATTCTTCTGATTTTCCATGTAGTTCTCAAATTTTTCTACTTTATCGTTGTTCAACCCCTCACTGTTGAATATGGAGTCGCCCTTTAGTATTTCCCATAAATTATTCTTCAATAATTTGACATCAACCCTTTTTGCAACTTTTGAAAAGTTGATATGCGTTGGTTTAATGTGGCTCTGACTTGTAACCAATTGCGATCCATACCCATTGAATAATTCATTCAAATCACCCCCTTCCATTGGATCAATGTAATCATTATCATCTTGAAAATTCCCCAATGTATCTTGGAAAAATGATTGATCGTACGACTTGTGTAATTCCTGTAAGTCTTCACGCAAAATATCATTCATTCTTCTTGACCGTTCCATTTCCTCGTTTTCCTTGTACTTTTCAGACCAATATTCTTCATTGGCAAAAACTTCATCAGTCTTATCTTTCATACTTTCATAGGGTATAATTTTTCTTTTGTTGAAAGTCTTTAATATAGTCAAGGGCTTCACAAATAAATGTATTAATCTTTTGGTAGTAAAGTGTATATCGTCTGGTAAACGGTGCTTGTCTTGAGTTATCCATTGATGTTTGGGTATTATAATCCTGGCTACCGATTCAGAAAATAGTTCGTCCTCATCGATTTCCTCTTCACTCAAGAAATCAATAGTCAGAATATCTTTCTTTTTGGTGGTAACTTCATGTCTTTGACTTCTTATTTCTCCTTTTTCATTCCTCTTTTTCATCAAATTTCGTACCTTCCAATTTTCATGCCCTTTCGTCCAATTCTTTCTCAATGCTTGATCAAAATATGCTAATAGATCATAATCAGGAATATCACTTACCTCTTCTATTCCGTCTTTATCCTTTTGTTCTCTTTGAAATGTTTCATCAAATAATTTCTGAAACGTCACATTCATTGAATTATCACCCAATCCCATACCAGTATCGTCGTGGATTTCGTAGTCATCATTATCAAAAAACACTGAACCAGCATTATCATAGTCGTTGTCGTCATAATGTTCATTCTCATATTCCGCTTTTTGCTTTTCAATTTGCTCGAGAACGTTAGTATTGTCAGCACCTTGAGTAACAATGTCTTGAAGAGCATCCATTGACGGACATACTCGAAAGTTATCTAACTCTTCGAGATTATTGAAAAATAGAGCCTCTAGATTATTGATATCAACTTCAGCACTATCTACAGACGTATCAGCATCATCAATTCCAAATTCTTTTTCTATGTCTGTCTCGTTACTGTTATCAATTGCCAAGGTTTTTGAATCACTCGTCGTATCGAACAATATCCTTCCCGTGGAGTCAATAGATAACATATTCAACAACAAGCTTTTAGATCCCCCTTCGTCGAAGTCTGACAACGCCCTTTTGAAAACCGGATCAACGACAAACTCAAAGTCTATTTTTTTCGTCCGTATTTGTTCAAATGAGTTAACTAACGTGCTTTCTAATACTGTATTCTTCTTTCTTTGTTTAACCCTAACTTCCTCGTTTTCTTCATCTTTTTCGTCTTCTTCGTTATCCTCGACGTTCGGTTTATGATATTTAGAAGCTGCCAATCCACTCAATAACCTACCAGTTTCCGTAGCTGCTGAATCGACTCTCGAGGAATATATCTTTACACAGCCATCTAGAGTGGCAGATGCTTTTTGAAAATTTATACTCTTGCCTTCTCGTAATAGTGATAAATCATGAAAAAAATCAATTAAAGCGAAATTCCACGAATTATTGGCATTGATCTTATTGTCTGTAGCCATCCGTATCCATAACTCAAAGTCTGTTACATTAGCATTAGACGGTCTGAGACCTGAAACAGGGCCAGATTCCATTGTCTGATTTACAGTTCAAGATATATATGGTCACTTTATCCTATAGCAATAAACGATACGCTGGAATATATACGGATCAAGTTCATCTTATAGATCGATGAGAGAAGATCTGAAAGGTAAACATTCTACACGTGATTATATCTCACTATATTTTTTATTACTATGATTTTATATAAGTACAGAATACAATTAGTACAAACGATTGCCTTACCATTCTTGTGCTTTAAGACCATAAACTGACTTCTTAGCACCCTTGACCGGCTTGATTAATTTCGAGCCACCTTCTAAGAAAGAAAATTTATCTCTTCTTATAGCCTCATATTTAGTAATGAATTCTTCCTTTTGTAAAGTTAATCCAATGTCATCTAACCCATTTATTAAACAATGCTTTCTGAATTCTTCAATATCAAAGTTATCGACTAAAACTTCGCCGGTTTCGCTGTTCTTGATTTGTTGATTTGGTAAATCGATAGTCAATTTGTTGCCAGCAGTGGCAACAGGGTATAACTTAGACATGATAACCTCTTGAGGAATTCTAATAGGTAATAAACCGTTCTTGAACGAGTTATTGTAGAAAATATCACCAAAGGATGGAGCAATCATACACTTGATACCGAAATCCTTCAATGCCCAAGGAGCGTGTTCTCTTGAGGAACCGCAACCGAAGTTATCACCAGTGACTAATAAAATTTCAGCGCTACGGTATGGATTGGTATTTAATACAAAATCAGTTTCAACGTCTTTTCCGGTTTTTGGGTCTTTGACAAATCTAGCTTCGTAGAATAAACCATTCTTTAAACCAGTACGTTTAATTGTCTTCAAAAATTGCTTTGGAATAATAGCGTCGGTGTCGACATTGGCCTTGTCTAAAGGAGCAGTGATACTGGTAAGAACATTAAATTTGTCCATACCACCAACTGTAGAGCTGGTCTTCATGACCTTCGATTTCTTAGCTTGTGGTTCTCTTGGAATATCGTTAATTTGTTCGTTCATAATAGAAGCGGAATCGTCGGTAGGTTGCTTTTCGTGCTCGTAAACAGCTTCTTGTAATGCCTGATCTTCGTCTGAGCCAATGGAAACAGATGGTTCATCGGTGTTATCGTAGTCGAATTCACGAATATCAGTGAAGTGGCCCTTGATAGCAGCAGCTGCTGCCATAGCAGGAGACATTAAGTGAGTTCTAGAAGCGGCACCTTGACGACCTTCGAAATTTCTGTTGGAAGTAGATGCGCATCTTTCTTCTGGATCTAAGATATCTGGGTTCATACCTAAACACATTGAACAACCGGCTTCTCTCCAAGAAAATCCTGCTTGTTCAAATATTTTATGTAAGCCTTCTTTCTCAGCCTGAGCCTTAATCAAACCAGAACCTGGAACGACTAATACTAATTTGACGTTATCGGCCTTTTTATGTCCCTTGGCAACTTTAGCGGCTGCTCTTAAATCTTCAATACGTGCGTTGGTACAAGAACCAATGAATGCCTTATCGATCTTAATATCCTTTAATGGGGTATTTGGAGCTAATCCTTGGTATTTTAACGCTCTTTCCATACCAGATTTTACAATTGGATCAGAAACAGTGGATGGATCAGGAACCTTAGAGGTTATAGGTAACGCATCTTGAGGTGAGTTACCCCAGGTGATAGTTGGGACGATATCAGCAGCATCTATTTGAATATCATAATCAAATTTAGCATTTTCGTCTGAATGTAAGGTTTTCCAGTACGAAACAGCCTTGTCCCATTCTTCACCCTTTGGAGCTAAAGGCCTACCCTTGATGTAATTGAAGGTGATTTCGTCAGGCTTAATCATACCGGCACGAGCACCAGCTTCAATTGCCATATTACAGATGGACATTCTAGCTTCCATAGATAAACCCTCAATAGCCTTACCAGCAAATTCAAGGACGCAACCGGTACCACCAGCAGTACCAATTACACCGATGACATGTAAAACCAAATCCTTCGAGGTTATACCCGGAGCTAAGTCCCCGTTAACCTGAATTCTCATGTTCTTAGACTTCGCCTGGATGATAGTCTGCGTGGCCAAGACGTGCTCGACTTCCGAAGTACCAATACCAAATGCCAATGAACCAAACGCACCGTGCGTCGAAGTATGCGAGTCACCACACACCACAGTGGTACCTGGTAACGTAAATCCTTGTTCCGGACCAACAATATGTACAATACCTTGTCTTTCGTCGCTCATACCGAAGTATGTGACGTCAAAATCCTTTACATTCTGTTCCAATGTCTTCACCTGTAATCTCGAGTCGTCTTGCTCAATAAAGGTATCAATATCCTTGAAATTGACTCTGGAACTGGTAGGAATGTTGTGATCAACCGTAGCTAAAGTACAGTCTGTTCTTCTGACCGTTCTACCCGCATTGCTCAATCCTTCGAATGCTTGCGGCGACGTAACTTCGTGCACAAGATGTCTATCTATGTATATTAAATACGACCCAGATTCGTCCTTATGAACTATGTGATCTTCAAACACCTTATCATATAATGTTCTTGGTTGTGCTGTCATTATGAATGTATGCAATTAATTATAGTTTACTAGAATTTGATCTGCAACCAAATACAACGAATGGTGAACTATTTAAATATATTATTCATTGTCCATTAACTGTCATACTAGAGATGTGACTAATCCGGTACCGGCGCGTTACCGGCGCCTGTATCGCTCCTAAGATATAAGCCAATCGGAGCTCGGTTGTTTATAAGGCCGTTTCTACTATAATTTTATTGCAAGTTTATAACAAGCAAAAATAAACGGTAACCTGTAAAGATTTTATTTTGCAGGTTAGATCGGAAAATATAAGCATTTGAGGAAACGGTATTTGATTTATTAGTACTACTGCAATCAATATTGGTTATAGTAGATAAATCAGTTGCTTGCAATACCGTTAAATATGTTACCTCCTGGAAGCAGGCGGTCTAAAATCAGACCACCGAGGAAGTCTTTAGTTAGCTCTTCTATTGGGAATTCTAGTGGAGATTCAGTTGTCGACTATGACTTATCGTGGTCGGTACTTTCAAATGCCATCACACAGATCCAGAATAAAAATGTTTCTAAACTATCGTACGAGCAATTGTATAGGAAGGCGTATATTTTGGTGTTGAGAAAATATGGAGCGAAGCTCTATGATGACGTTTCGCTGTTGATTAGACAGCATTTGCTACAGAAGAGACAGAATTTGCTCGCGATATTGAATCTGTCGTCGTCGTTGAATAACTCGATCAATGAGGATTTCATGAAGGCTGTGTTGGTGGAATGGGACGAGCATTTGCAGTCGATGAAGTTCATCAGCGATGTATTGATGTATCTCAATCGAGTCTATGTTAAGGAACACAAGAAGCTACTTATCTACGACTTGGGGATACAATTATTTAAGGAGAATATCGTCAAGTACGAGGATAACGAATTGGGGTCGAAATTGATTGAGATAGTCGTGGAGGAGATTACCAAGAACAGAAAGGGCGAAGTGATAACGACGAAGATGTACATAACTAAGATTATCAATATGCTCGAGTTGTTACTTGAAACCAGCAGTTCGGGCAACGACTTGCAATACGGAGACAATTACTACCAGAGGTACTTCGAGCCTACTTTTCTTGCTAGTTCAGAAACTTTTTTCTACAATTTGTCCCAGGAGTTCATTAATAATCTGCTTGGTACGAAGTATTTGCATGATGCCCACCGCTTTATAAACGAAGAAGAAAATAGAATCAACTTTTATTTGCCTTCTTCGACGTATCCAAGAATAATAGATTTAATGAATAATATCTTGATTAAAGATAAAATCGATAAAATATTGTGTCTCCCATTTGAACAGCAGGGTTTATCTTACTGGTTACAGCCTGTCCTTACGAATATCTTTGATCAAAATTTGTCCTCTAACAGAGAGAGTCATCATTTCGCGGAATTGAAAATACTATATGAGTTGTTGGGTAGAATTGACCCCGACTACGAGCTTTTCAGAACGCGTTTAAAGGACTTGGTTGTATCCCAGGGTAGTACTTTGCCTTCACTTGTTAAAGAGTCAATATCGTTAAAGGATGATAGTACTTCAAAGAAGTCGAACGCTAATTCTACTGCTTTTGCATCTACGTGGATTAATTCTATTTTAGAATATCAAAACCAATTTTCAAAGATTATCAAAGAATCGTTTTCCGGAGATGTTGTATTGGAACAATGCATCACCATGGGTATGAGGGAATTCATCAATGGGGCTCAAAATGCACCCGGTGGTAGTAAAAAATCAAACACATCATCAGGAAATAGTGCACCTGAATTGTTGTCGGTCTATATGGATTTTAGGATCAAGCAGCTTACAAAGAATCCTGGATCAAGCTCTAAAAATATGCGAAACGAAAATGATACTGATATGAATGGGTCGTCTATAGATCAAACTGATGACTTAATTAACAAATCTGTTGCATTCTTGAGATTCATAAAAGATAAAGATGCGTTTGAAGCACATTATGCTAACCATTTTGCCAAAAGGTTTCTAAACTTTAAAAATTCTTCACAAGCGGGCAATTCATCGAGCAGTGGAAAACTAGGAGTTGATCTCGAAGAATTAATAATATCGAAGTTAGGAGAAGAAATGGGTACAACGTCATTAGATAAGGTCATTAAAATGGATAAAGACATAAAACTGTCTCGTGACTTGACCAAAGACTGGAGAAGCTATGTGAACCAAAATCATAAGAAATCACTAATAGAATTAGATTTGAAAGTTTGTAATGTTTCAGATTGGCCTAAATCGATGACAAAGGATTATAAGAAGTTTGCACGGGACGACACCAATAATGAAATTGGCTTTATTTGGTCACGTCAATTACGGTCCACCATTAAAGAATTTGAAGAATTTTGGTTCACGAATAAGAGAAACGACAATAAATCGCTCTACTGGTGTCCCAAATTTGGTTCTATGGACTTAAGAATAACTTATCCTACAAAAACATATGATATAAGCATGTCAACCTATGCGGGTATAATCATGCTTTTGTTTGCTCCGCAATCAGCGGATGCAAATGGCAATGAAGTCCTGGCATTTGATGAAATGAGAGAACTAACGTATGACGAGATCAGAGAGCTCACTGGCATCCCGGAGGCTGACTTGAAGAGACAATTACAATCCATAGCGGTCGCACCAAGACTGAGGCTCTTAGTCAAAGTACCAATGACCAAGGAAGTAAACAATAGCGATGTTTTTAAATTGAATGATAAGTTCAAGTCTCCTTCCACCAAGGTCAAGGTTTTGACTGTTTCAGCCTCCTCTAGTGGTACCTCAAATGGCACGAAAGTTTCTTCTACCAATGATACCCCACTAGCAAAAACGGTTCAAGAAGAAGAATTTGAAGAAGTACAATCAAGTATTCTAGAAGGTCGTAAGATAGAAGTTAATGCTGCAATTGTGCGTATAATGAAATCCCGTCGTACAATCAACCATAACGATTTGATAAGTGAGTTGGTCAAACAGTTGCATAATAGATTCCAAACACTGACTATTCTTATAAAACAAAGAATTGAAGATTTGATTGAGAAGGAGTATTTAAAAAGAGATGATAACGATAAAAGTATATACCATTATGTCGCTTAGGCTATAATAAAATTATTTAACCTGTAAACTCTCATTAATCTGTAAAACATTGAATTTGAATAATTTCTGAACTAATATAAACATATTCGAATAAGCCAACGTTCGTATACTTATTTGAGACAGTATTAAGCATGTCTGCAAATGATATATTAGATGTTTTGAATGTCCAAAGGGATAATCAAAACCAGCCGCCAAAAAAGAAACAAAAGGTTGGAAATGAGCAGACTTCTATGCCTCGTCAAACAGGTATGGCTAGAGAGTTATACAACTTATTAGGGCCAAATACACCACCAGTTAATATGTCGGTTACTTCAAGTAACACTGGAATTAAGGATAAACTCAACTTGAAGCCATCTCCGTGGACGAGAATGCCATTTACACCAGTTACTTCAAAATTTGGTGACCAAGTCGAATTATTCCATTGGGTTAAAGGATCAAGAGAATTGCTAGAGCAAGAGGAGGCTACGAATAAGAAGCCGTATTTCTTTGAAAAATTCAATACGAAGTTGGATTTGCCGGAACTCATGGACGAAGAAACGTATAATGTGTATATGGGTGAGATCAAGGATCAAGAAATGAAGCAAATTGAAGAACAGAAAGAAAAGGAACTAAAAGAAAAGATGGATCTAAAAGAAAAGGAAGAACAGAAAGAGAAGGAGCAAAAAGAAAAGGAAGAAAAAGAGGAACAGAAGGAGAAAGAACAAGATAAAAAGATCGATGAAAGCGATAAGAATGACAATGATGAGAAAAATGACAATTCAAGTCAAATTAATAATAATACCAAAGAATCTGAAAAACAAGAAGTTGAAGACGAAACCCCACAAGATATCGATTCTGGAAGGGATACTAATGAATGGACATATGAAGAGACAAAACATCTATTTGAATTATGTAATGCGTTTGAGTTGAAGTGGCCTGTGATATATGATAGATTCAACAACTCGAGCCGTACGTTGGAAGACTTGAAAGAACAATTTTATAGAATTAGTGTTAAAATAATAGAATCTCAATCCAACTCAAATCCAGCATTAGTTGATAATCTTAAGGCATTCTCAAAGTCAAAAGAAATAGAACGAAAACAATATTTAGAAAGTCTTCTTAAGAGAACACCAGCTGAAATTGCCGAAGAGGAATCACTTGTGATTGAAGCACGCCGATTTGAGCTTGCAGCAAAGAAAATGCTCATAGAGAGATCGCATCTTTTAACATTACTTGATTCTCCCCAGACTACTCAATCAGTTCAACAGTACCAATCATCACAAGGCTTAGCCAATTTGTACAATAATTTGATGATAATCGATAAACACCAGAAGAAACGCCAATTTCAACAACAGCAAAGAACAAGTAACTCGAATAGCCATGATCCGATTCCTCCTCCAATCCCAATTGCGGCTTCTTCGTCGTTTAAGAAAGAGCGTAACTTTCAAACTCATTTACAACAATATTTATCAGGCTTCTTAAAACAAAACCCCTCTAGCAATGACTCGAAACAAGAAACTAATGCTATCCAACAATTATTGATGAAGCGATTAACGGTGAAGGAAGAAGAAGCTTATGGATTACATTACCATGCTAATGAAAAGCTCACTCCTGGAGTTATATTGAGATCTACTCAAAGGTTGCCTGGTTTGCAACAAAGACAATCTGTATTAAAGTCTGTCAATAGCATTCTTCAAGAATTGGACATTCCTACAGCAGGCGGTACCAGCTGGAAACCGGTTATGCCTACCAGAAAAACAATGACAAAATATGATGAGTTGTTAAAGTCTGTGGTTGCATTATTAGATGTTAAAAAGGGTAGGGATAAATTAGAATCAGAAATCAGATTAATTAAAAGTCAACGGGGTTTACAATAAGCTCGCTGATTGTATATTATATGTATAATATATTTATTATAATGCAGAATATTTATAAATATAGTTAATGCAAAATGCGGGATGCTGTCGTAGTAATAATCCCTTGGACGCCCTAAAAGCTAATATCCAAGGGCAATGATGTGGAGAATGATTCACTCGATAATTTTGGTCGAAGGATTTTGATCAACAGATCATAGGCATGATCTGAGGATGCTTTAAGTTTATTTAGATTATCCTGAGGAAGACTCTGTAGGCTATTGCCATTAATCACACTTCCTGGCTGTTGGATATCAAATAGAACATATGAGGAAAACGGAATACACAAATCGATGATTGAATTGTCGGTATTAGAATTATCATACGTCTCGATGAAATCATTTATCGTGCTTAGTACCAGCGCTTTATCCTTGTATCCATCATATAAATAATATGCTTCCCGAAGTATCGCAAATGCAGCATTAAATGATTTTATTTGATAAACCTCGTACGCCTGAAATCTTTCTTCATTTTTTCTTCTCAAAGACGCCAAGTCTACTAGCAGTCTAAGGAATTTTTTGAAAACCTGTTCTGATACCAAAACCTCATAATTTTTTATTTTCGAATAAAGATATTCCATTAACAGAGATATAAAAATCCATCTCTCCTTTTGGTTGTTGGCGACAGATTTCATATAAATACTAATAAGATGATAAAGTAAATCAAAACTTTCCAAAGAAATATATTCATCTAGTATTAAACTAGCATCCTTTTGGAAATAAATAGCTGATGATATCTCATTATTTAGACATATTAGCTTTTCTTTCAAGGGCAACACATGCCATCTATAATCATTTGACTCGAGTTGCCTGATACCTAATTTTCTTGATAATGAGCTATATTCGTCAATGGATTGAACAAATTCAGCGCAATATTTTTGTACTGTTTCCACCAATTTTTTGCAATAGTCCACATAGCTGCTAGATAAGTAATGTTTGTTATATTCCTCATCTAGCGATTTAATTAGCTCTTCTAAATATATTATTTTCGTTGCTTTTGAAAGCCTTTCATCTTCCGCGATGTTAAAAATAATATTAGAAGCTATGAGCAGTTTAAAATTCAGCATCTGGAAGGAAGTTAGTTGTTCCGGGACGTATTCTTTTTTAAAAATAAAAAGGCGATAATGGGATTTCATTAACAGGTTAATGATCAAAGAAAGGTATGGTGACGTAGAAAGCAATGCCAAACTCTTTAATAATGCTAAAATAATACTGTCGACATGATTCGAGAGACCTGTAAACGATAATAGTTCATTATAGAAGAACAATACAAATCTCTCCCGCAGATAGGCATTCCCAATATATGGATATTTCTGCAAAACCAAAACATTCCAATTTACCTCTCTTAGTATGGAATTACACCGAATCCAAACTTTTATAGTTTCTTCAATTACTTCAGTGGCACGATCCTCTGTTAATTGATTCAGAAATGGAAATCTACCCATTTGTGTATGCAAAAAAGAGAAGCATTTCTCTTGGATAATATATATCAATTCAAGGTTTTTCTCAGAAATATTATATTGTTCTGCCTTAATGATGTTAGTAATTGACTTTAATAATAACTTCACAAGTGAATCAGAAATTTCATCAGTAAATTTATTAAATTCAAGGCGTCTAAGTAATGCAAAAAACATGAAATGATTATTAAATGCAAATGTACTATTGATATTAGGGACAAAGTATCTGTCCAAATTAATCAAAAGTTGTTTCCATATTTTTTGTACCCCTGGCAATGACATATATAGATCTATCATGGTTTCTACCATAATTTGATATGAATCAACCGGGATACTATTTCCCTTACTTGTCGCAATATTGGAATATGTCTCTAGTCCATCATTCGTAATATTATACATTCTAATGTCGTTTGAGGATTTTATTTGCTGTATAAGATCAAGAACTTGATTTCTCAAATCAACATCAGAAAGCTGAGATAGAAGCAAGATAAAATTAAACCGATTGACAAACATGGCAAAGCTCTTTGAGCCTTTTTGATAATGGTAGTGACTTGAAGTAAACAACTTACTAATAAGTCTCTTTTTATTTCCACCATATGGTAAACTTGAAACGTAGCAGTATAGAAGATGCATAAACTTTTCAAAAAAAGATGAATTAGGGATACTATCTCTTGTGATTAAAATGTCTATCAATTCTGGTTCATTTTTCTCGTCATCAAAATTGGAGAACTTACGAGCCGTTATGGCCGAATAAATTGCAGTTATAAGCTTCTCTTCAAAAGGCCATGAAAATCTTTCATTTAAAGAATAAATAATTTCAATAAATCTATTATGAATATTAGAATTATCATCCGATTTATGAGCATTATAAATAATATAGAATGACGACCAGTTAGACTTACTTGTTGGAACAAGTGATGCCATGTAATATAGCATGTCAAAAATACCTAAAGATGGCAATCTTAGATTAATCAAGCGGTTTAACGCTTTATTAATTGATGGCCACCAGATTTCATCACTATTTTGAAATAACAAATACATCAAATGTAAAGATTCAAAGTTTAACAGCAGCATTAATTCATCATGGCTCGCAATCAAGATATCAATATCCATGAATTGGAAATAAAGTGTCCAATACTTCACACAGTATCTATTGTAATCAGTATATCTTAATTCGATGTTTCTCCTGTCCAAAATATTCCTTTGTGATATTTGAATAAAAATATAATATAACAACAAAACGTAAGGAAAGAATACAAGCTTCTTGGGAAATTTGTCCTTTTTCCTAATTTTACAAAGATCATCAAGCATTTGAATTAGATAGGTCCATGAATTTTCACTTGGGTTTTCTTGTAGTATTAAAAACCACTTGATAACCCCTTTCATGGCCTGATAAATTTCTTTGCTTAGACTTTCATTTGAGTAAATTTTCAGATCACTAAGCAATCTAGATAGGCGGAAGAGAAGATTTTCACAATTCTCATTGGAATCAATCTTATCAATCAAAGTAAAAGAATATTTTTCACCCATAATCATTATTACAAATGAATCTCTATCACATATGGAACATACGCCCAATTTTAATGAATGTATTTTGTTCATGTCAATGTCATCAAATATGATATTATTTGATATTTCAACATTATGGCTTTTATCATGTTTTTCAGCATATTGAAGATGGCTAGGTAAAACTCCTCTTTGGTTATAAGAAAAGTTAATGTCTTTCGTTTTAACAAATATATTTGTACTCTCAGCTTCAAATGCAGTAGTGCTTATATTCGGAGTCCTCAGAAAATAATAATCAGTTATTAGCATGTCTTTTTGAGACTTTTTAGAGTTTACGCCAGTATCTACGCCATTTACATCTTCCGTGCGTCCTTTCTGTTTGTTATTTATCTTCTTATCCCCAATTCGTTTCTTCTTTAATCGCCCAAAAGAGACCTTATCAAATCCCTTAGAAGGAATTCTTGAATTGGTTGTCTTTCTATTATATTTTCGTTTACTTATCCCAGCTCTTGAACCCGTAGAATTTATACGCTTTGCACTTCCAGTCGCTACAGGGGGTTTCCATTTTCCCAAAGTCCGGTCTATACTTCTACCATTTATATTTCTTCTCCTTTTCTTTCCTGCTGTATTATGGTTTCGGGGGATAGACGAATATGCGAACTGCGGATCTATTCTGTTATCTTCTGTAACAGAATCACTGTCATCATTATGCCTCGATAATAGATGCATATTTTCCCCATAGTAATCTGTTTGTAAATCTTCTTCAGTCCTGTTTTGTATACCTAAGAAACCAGTATTTTCAATGTTGTTTTCAACAGTGGTATCAAACGATATTGAATTATAATCATCATATATGCCTGTATTGCTAGATTCAGAATAATTAGAAAAGACATCAACACTTTCGTCCGATTCAAGATTGTCTGTATCAATCAATAAGAGATCTGTTTGGATTTCTGAAGGTTCAAAATTATGATAAAATGCTGGAGAATCTTGATAGTAATTGTCGTCATCAACAAATGTGCTTAATTCATTCTCTAAATTAATGTCCCGATTGTTCCTGATATTTGATTTTTTAATTGCTAGACCCTTTCTATACTCGTTATCATTCCGTTTCCTATTATTGGTCTTTGACCTCTTAATTTGGTATAAATCTAATCTCTTTGCAGATTCAGGTAATGTCCCCCGTAACACATTCCTTTCTCTTCGAAATTTTCCGCCAACCCTCACCATTCTATCATTGTCTTCCGACTCATCAGTACTCAGAGGGTTATCCACCGATACCTGCTTGTCTGAAACTTCGTCTTCTTCATCATCAACAATTATGGAATGATTTTTACTTCTAAGAAATAAAATGCTAGAATCTGATTCACCCAGTTCACTGTCAGTCGAAAAATTAATCTCGTTGGATTCTGCTCTGTTACTAGTCTCCTTGGGAAAACTCGGCTGACTCGTATCCTCGGTAAACTGAGACGATACTTCCAGATCCTTAACAAACCCAGGTCTTTTGCCTAAGAAGGCATAGAAATTTTTTGCCTTGTACTTCTCATCTGTCGAATATCTAGATTTCTTTTTCAAATAGATTTGATTCAATAATTTTACTATCGCGTCTAAATCAGACGTTTCCAGATACATCTCGTTCAACGAGTTGATGCTGCTTAGTCCCAACCAATGTGCCTGATCCGCTATATACGGATGGGTACTAGCGAAATTTCTCTTACGAAGGCCACGTCTCGAATTCTGGTTAATGTTGGATTCCCGAAGTATCTCCATATCATCTTGTTCTAAATTATGTCGTATTCTCCCGAAGTCTCCATTATCCAGCTGGTAAGCATTATGTCCAGATATTCCAGACCTTTCCTCTACTCCATGCGTATATCTTTCTCTAGTTGCATCATCTTGATGCACCCCATCCAACAGACTTGCAATGGAAGCAACCAGTGCTATTGGCGACTCATTGACGACCTCGGGTACTAACTCAGAAAACCGCGTTCGTCTTAAGTCGGAACAAATCAGTTGTCTTGTCGGTTCTGGCATATCTCGTAGAGTCTGTGCAACCTTCAGGTACGATATTACGCCCGGCAGTAAGAGTAAATCTTCTTCATCTTCTGAATCCGTAATATAATCGCCCATTATGCCATATGCTCAATGCCGCTATGATGGTGTAGGCTTAATATTGCAATCGTTTTGATGTCTTAATGAATACGCGTGTAACTTGAAAGTAAAATAATGATAATGATCCCCCTAAATTGTAGTTCAAAGATATTTAGACGCTTTGTATAATATCTGGCTATTTTAAATGTAATAATGACTTGTTAGAAGCTTCAAACTTACCGTTAACTTATCTATTCATTTTTAGTATTTACATTTCTGAAGTATTATTGGATCACGTGAATTTTGCATTTTTTAATGAACATTAGATGAGAGGCCAACCCAAGAAACTCCATTACAATAAGGATAAAGAGATACGTTAATATGGACAATAGAAGGGTATTCCGCTCTTATAAAGAGAAGGTGAAGGATTCCGCAACACCATATGCTAGGCCCAATAATGGACTATTCTCTAAGATGAAGCTGTTTCTTACTGGTGCATCGCTTTGGTCCAACCATGAGACCGCCGGTCACGACGACCAGATCGCTGATAATACAATTCCCATGGATATCGAAAAGGGTGAAAAAGGTGAATCAAGTATCAAACCTTTCAGCTTTCCAGAGCCAGATACAAGTATATTCAAAACTCCGTTAAAATCCAACCAGTCGAAAGCTCCCAATGAGGTTTTGTCCAGCTTCTTTCAAGACAAGGGTGACAAGCCTCTTACAGATGTAGAATACGAGGGCATAGTGAGTTTGTTGGCAAAATCCAAATCGGCGTCCAATACGCCAAATAATAGCGTTGTGTATCGAGGGGATGGTGCATCGAGACAATTTGAGTCTATCGCCGATTCAACGGACCTAGGGAATAAGGACGCCGATACATCTGCATTTAGGTCGTCGGGTTCGAATTTGTTTGCCACGCCGTACAGCCAAAGGACGTTAAAAAACATAAATTCAAATGACCATGTACTCTCGACTCCAGAATACAAGCCAGTTTATCATACTATCAACGAAAATTTCAACACGAAAAACGTTCCATCTGTAAAAAGGGTTTATCAATTTTCAGGTTTGCCATCGCCATATAGAACTAGAATAAGGGCGCCAAGTCTATCGGCTAAGCCAAAAATTCCAACGAAGAAATCGCCATCCTTTCCAAAATCTCCATCAGCCCAAAAAGCGGCTTCAAAGCCTATGAGCAATGCTGCAAACTCATTATTAAATATTTTAGATGGTAACACTCATTCCGAAGATGTTGAAATGAAAGATGCATCTAACAGTAAGAGCGATATTATTGAACAATTTTCCAATCCATATCATAGACCTCAGTCGGTCAAAAAGCCTAGAAGTCAAGATAGCAATAAGTCGCAATCTGCCATCAACGCTAGTACCCCAATAAAAAAGCAGAAGAGTACGTTGCTCACTGCTAGCGATATCAACAAAACTATTTCCTTCGACAAGTCCGAAGAATTGCCTAAAGAAAAGACTACCTCAAGAGACAACAAAACTTCAAAATCTCAAAACTCATTTGTCCCTTCTACACAAACCAACAATGGAAAACCAGATTCCAAGTCCGCCAATAACCAATTCAAATTCAATGTACCAAAAGAAGAGCCGAACGTCGCTGACAAGGGCACTAATATCGCTGCTAATGGCAGCAACGAAAAGTCCAAGAATGTCAGCCAATTCTCTAACAGGCAAATTCAAACAAAGACAAATGGCTTTTCGTTTGGCAAAACCACAAAACCAAATATCGACTCTAATCCAGTGTATAATATTCCCAGCAAAGACCTGGAGTTCATATTTCCAGAAATAATCCAAACAAAAGTTAGCTTGGACTACAACAAGGTCGACAAGTATAAGTCTTTATTTGGTTTTTAGTATTGCCTGCTTGTTATATAGCAATGTTTCTTTAATACATATCTTTATCTTAGAGTAGTAGTTATAAGTCGCCCTGTATATAATAGTATACGATTTGAAATACAAAAAAACAGTATCCGATTAATTTTAACAATTGGTCTACAAACAAAAGGTCTTTAATAATGGCATCTGAGTTGAATTCGGTTCTTTTGATCGGTGGTGCAGGTTTTCTTGGATTGCATCTTATCGAACAATTTTATAAAAATTCTCCAAACACCAAAATACACGTCTTTGATGTTCGTCCAATAGCTGAAAAATTATCACCTTATTTTACATTTCCAACTAGTGAAATTGTTTTTCATCAGGGTGATTTAACGTCAGAGGCCGATGTTGAAGAAGCAATTAAAAAATCACAATGTGATGTTATTGTTCATTCAGCTTCACCCATGCACGGACTTGCACAAGAAATCTATGAAAAAGTGAATGTTGAGGGTACGAAGAATTTGATTAAAGTAGCGAAAAAGTCAAGAGTAAAAGCATTGGTATATACCTCATCGGCTGGTGTTATTTTCAATGGGCAGAACATCCATAATGCCGACGAATCGTGGCCATATCCAGACGTTCATATGGATGGTTATAACGAGACTAAGGCATTTGCCGAAACAGCAGTAATGGAAAGTAATGATCCTAACGGTTTGTTAACTGTTTGCTTGAGGCCTGCGGGTATTTTTGGACCTGGCGATAGACAATTAGTACCGGGGTTGAGAGCAGCCGCAAGATTAGGTCAATCTAAGTTTCAAATTGGAGACAACAACAACTTATTCGACTGGACTTACGTTGGAAATGTAGCTGACGCACATGTGTTAGCTGCACAAAAAATTTTGGATAAAAGCTTGTCCCATAAACTTGGTGGTGAAACATTCTTCATCACCAATGACGCACCTACTTACTTTTGGACTTTAGCGCGTACTGTTTGGAAGGCAGACGGACATATCGATAAGTACAACATTGTGTTGAACAGACCTGTCGCTATAGTTGCCGGCCATTTATCAGAGTTCTTTTCGAAGTTATTGAAAAAAGAGCCCGGATTGACCCCGTTTAGAGTTAAGGTTGTATGTGCTTATCGTTATCACGATATATCCAAAGCCAAAAATGTTCTTGGATATAAACCGCAAGTTGACCTTGAAACTGGTATTAAATATACCTTAGACTGGATGAACGAATCTAGTTAATCATTATGTACATTATATAAATAGGGCATTCGAACTGTGAATATGATATTATCTCGACCACTCTGTAAAGATCTATTAATAGACGAATCCATACTACAATGTGCATTGCCTGACTTGATGGGTCCTACCGCATCTATGTCGCTGTAAACTCGGCCCTTATTGTTCAAATAGTACTTACCGCAAATTTAATCGGTATTTTTCGTCAAGCAAAATCCAATCTCTCCTGCCCCAGTTATAACGAACTTAATATATATTCTATTAAATAAGCTATACTTGACGTCCTTCATGCCCGCAGCACCCACCAAGAATTTATTCCGCCTCTGACACACTTCATGTTCTGCTTAATTGCATTAATTTTAGTTTTACTATCTGAACTACGATTTTTAACGCTCGCATAACATATTGAACTGCCACGATTATTGTGTCTACAAACATTAATCTTCACGTTTAAGTTTTACAATCCATACCAAACTTGGGTCCAAAACCAGTATTCGGTAGAATCGCGTTTGATCTAATAAAAAGAAGCTTCCAAATTCCAGACTTCGCAATTCTGCGACAAAGCTTGCTAAGACACCACTTGAAAGACCTTAAATTCCCGGATTCGAATCCTATTTGTAGAGGCTTATTCGCCTAGCTGGCACCATTTTCCAAAATGGATATTAATTTTGCTTTGTTAAGTAATACTCCAGCTTCGCCACCTAGCGCCACTTAAGCGCGAAATATGTACCTGCATTCTTGTGAAAGGTAAATTTTTAAACGTATTTGAGGTTCATGTCAACAGTGATCAAAACTCATTTTGATTGTTTGATAGGAATTGATTTTGGGCTCTCAATAATAACCTATTGTTACATTTGATGAATCAATAGCCCTATTGACTTGATATACTTAATTTCACACGGATATCGTGTTTCGTGTATTAATAATTTTCGAGTAATAAAATATGGTCGAATATATATAAGCATATTTGTTCTGCTGGAAAGTTTAACAGATTTGTAGTGAATTTATTCTAGTATCTTTGTTCATTTTTCTAATAGTTAAGTGACTTAACAATACATTCGTTATATATAAGACTTACTATACAAAGATGTTTAAGTTACCGTTATTGTTAGCTTTCGTTTTTGGTTTATTGACCTGTCAATTAGTACTCGCAGAAGATTTTCCAGAAGTCGAAGTTGTGGGTAACAAGTTTTACTTCAAAAACAATGGTTCTCAATTTTTGATGAGAGGTATTGCTTACCAACAAAACACTGAAAACTCCACTTCTAAGGAATTCGTTGATCCTCTTGCTGATGGTGATGCTTGTAAAAGAGATGTTGAGTATCTCCAAAAGTTGAACACCAACACATTAAGAGTTTATGCACTTAACCATTCTAAGAATCACGATGAATGTATGAAGACTTTCGCTGATGCTGGTATCTACATCATTGCTGATTTATCTGAACCAGAACTTTCTATTAAAAGAGATAGTCCATCTTGGGATTTGGAATTATACGAAAGATACACTGGTGTTGTTGATCAATTTGCAAACTATTCGAATGTTTTAGGCTTCTTCGCAGGTAACGAAGTTACTAACAATAAATCCAACACTGATGCTTCTGCGTTCGTGAAGGCTGCTATCAGAGATACCAAGAAGTACATTTCAGACAAGGACTATAGAGAAATTCCTGTTGGTTACTCTTCAAATGATGATGAAGACACTAGAATTGCAATTGCTGACTACTTCTCTTGTGGTGAACTTGATGAAAGAGCTGATTTCTTCGGTATTAACAACTACGAATGGTGTGGTGATTCCAGCTTTAAGTCTTCAGGTTACGAGGACCGTACTAAAGAATATAAAAACTTGACTATCCCTGTTTTCTTCTCTGAATACGGTTGTAATGCTAAAAGGCCAAGAAAGTTCACAGAAGTTGGTACCATTTTCAGTGATGATATGACTGATGTGTGGTCTGGTGGTATTGTTTACATGTATTTCGAAGAAGCAAACAAGTATGGTTTAGTCTCAACTAGCGGTGACAATGTTAAAACATTAGATGACTTCAAATATTATTCATCTGAAATTAATAAGATCTCACCATCTTACGCTAAGAAGTCCTCTGTTAAACTGGCTTCTAATACTCTTTCCTGTCCTGCATCCGCCTCGACTTGGAAAGCTGCATCTAAGTTACCTCCAACTCCAGATAAGGATACATGTAACTGTATGTCAAAAACTTTGGGATGTGTTGTTTCTGATGACGTTGATGAAGAAGACTACGGTGACTTGTATGGAACTGTTTGTGGTGAGATTGAGTGTGACTCTATTAACGCCGATGGTCAAAAGGGTAAGTATGGTGCTTTCTCTTACTGTTCCAGTAAAGATAAATTGTCTTATGTCTTGAATGAGTACTATGAGAAGAATGGTAAGCTGAGTTCCGCTTGTGATTTCAAGGGTTCTGCTTCTATTAATAAAAAGGCTTCTTCAGCTGATAAGTCCTGTTCTTCAAAGATTTCCAAGGCTACCAAGGGCGGATCTAGTTCCTCAGGTTCTTCTTCTGATTCTAGTTCGGGTTCTGATTCGGGTTCGGGTTCTGGTTCAAGCTCTGGTTCTGGTTCCGACTCAACTTCTACTAAGCTGTCTTCTGGTAACTTATCAATGAAGAGCATCTCAAAGGGTGAGTTATTGACAGTTGTCGGTATGGTCACCTGTTTCGTTGGTGGTATCTCATTCGTATTAGTTTAATCGAGTGAATTAATGAGGATGTATTTTATATATAGTTGTAATAAATTTATTAAATTGTAATCTATATCTATATTAACTCGTTACCATGAAAATTTCGTTAAGTGCTTTTGCATCCATGACGGACGCCCTCTTCTGTTTGATCCACTTTGATCTGACAGATAACCTCGTAGCTATTTGTTGGTTTAATTGCTCTTTTGGCATGAGCATGCTATCACGGGTCACTTCTTTCACCTCTTGCTCTGTCTTTCGTTCGTTCTTCTCTTTCTTCTCTTTCTTCTCTTTCTTTTCTTTCTTATCTTTCTTACCTTTCTTATCTTTCTTACCTTTCTTCTCTTTCTTCTCCTCTTT